CGGCGTGAAGAGCATATCACGCCATACTACCTTGAGGCAAACATCTTGAAACTAAATTATCAAAGATCCATCAAAATTTTGTCATTAGTCTTTTTCATTTTGAAATCAGGCTCCCCGAAATATTTTACATCAGATTTTAAATTTGTGTCTCAGGGTAGTTCACGAATTTCTCATTCTTCTTCGATCACATTGCGTATACCTCATCATGTGACCACCGCTTATGACAGGGCTTTTGTAGTTACCGCTTGCCGTCTTTGGAACAGCCTACCCCTACACATTAAATCCCTTGATAAACGTTCCCAGTTTGTGGCGGCACTAAAAAATCTCTACTTTTGAGCAAATGGTCTCGGCTGGCGTGTCCTAGGGCTTCTGCGTCTTTGCGCGATTGCTGGTGCGTATGCGTGTGAGAGTGTGAACGTGTTTTCTTTTGTATATTCTATTAATTTATAATAATTTACTATTTTTTTTATTATTTAATTGGTTAAATAAATTGAATTTTTGTTTAACTTGTACTTGATGTGTTAAATATGTATTTTTATATTAGATTAAGAAATGTCATTGTATTTTTTATTTATTTATATTTAAGTTTGTCAGGTTAAGTGTAAGAGAGGGCCATGTGGCCCTAACTTTGCCTGGTAAAATAAAGAATTTTTCATTTCATTTCATTTCATTTCACCCCTATAGTTTCTAGATTACCTTGTCTCCATCTCGTTGAAGTGGATATATAACTGTATTACATGTATGTATACACTTATTATTCGTATTTTTATGGACAAATGGTTTCTACAGATGCCAAAACAAAAACACACCTTCTGGTAACTGGTTTTAATTGTTAATTCAGTCAAAATAACTATAATTACAGATTGTTATACGATTTCATTAGGACTGTGACAAGACAAGTTTACATACAGACAAGTATGACAAGATGATGACATTTATTTGTCGTAGTATTGTGACAGCAGCAACACAGTAAAACACTTAAACAAAATTTGTCGATGAAAGTGGAAATGTTAATTAAATAATTAATTTGTCCAAATCATTTGGAAAGCTAAATTTTATTATAATACAGAGGTTGTAAAAGTTAACGTATTTCTCAATGGCTGTGCTGTAATCTCAGATATCGGCCGCCACGTGGCTCCCCCCCCCCCACCATCTCACCCCTACTCTCCCTCCACAACCCGCAAACAACCCTTAATTATGTCCCCAGTGCATAAACCAGTACCCGCCAGTCTCAAACAAACTTTTTATTCCAACTTAAATTAATTATTGTTTATCAAAAATTGTTCGTTGGCATTGTGACTCATACCGTAACATAGATTACCATTCATCTTTACATATTTGTCTCACTTGCGAATCACTTGAAACCATTTCTGTATGGTGTATCTAGAGTGTGTTTTTATGTTCACCATTAATTGATTTTAATCCATAAACGTTAAAACTTTGGTCTTTTGTATTAAAACAAAACTATCAAAAAATCCCTGGAACAAATAATCGCCTTAAACATCGTCTAGGCTTATCAGAGATAAAAATTAACATGCTTGGGATTTTTAAACAGGATGAATGGTCGGAATAGTCTACTTGAAGTATCTACGCCCATCTTAGTACAGTGGCTAATACTTGGATAATACTGTGCATTATAATGCAATGCACTTTAATTTTAGCGAATTTCCCTATAGGGAAGTAGCTATTACCGTAGGTGGCACGGTAAGACCTAGACCCGGGACCGATTTACTTTTTCATTTTGATGTCCCCAGAGGCCAAAAACACCATTCGTTCAAATTTTTATATATGTATATATATATATATATATATATATAGACTTATATATATATATACGTCCGTAAACGCGATAACTTGAGTAATTTTTGTCCGATTTTGATGAAATTTGGTTTAAAGGTGTAAAGCGTGATAAACTTGAATGGGTTTGCGAACCAGCACGATCGGACCATGGGAACGGGGCTTTACGGTAGGTTTTATGGGGTAAAAATTGATTTTTCTCACTTTTGACTCTCAAAACACAAAATTTCCCGATTTCTCTTTAGACCTTTTTAAAGAGCTTAAAAAAACAAATAATTTAGTATATAAAAGTATTTTTGTTCGATTATTAGTAACGGAGAAAATTAAAAAAATTGTAAATTTAAAATTCCCATGTTATTCTTATGGAGAATATTGTCAAATGTTGTAGTTTGCTTGTTTATGGATATATTTTGATCAAACTTGGCAAATTTATTTATTTTGTACTAAGCTATCAATATTTTACTCAAAAACACACTTTATTAGTTTCCTTGTAGCAGCAAACCTAGGTACTCGTTAAACCTAATGTTATTAAAACATATTTAACTGAAAATCAATTCAGACAAATGGAAATTCGCTTAGTCGGCAGGTTTGCTGCGGCGGGGGTATTTTAATAATTTAACTGCAAAAGATTGTACATTTCCTATATAACTTCATTCCTACCATCCCGAAGTGTAGATACATTTTTAACTGGTATGGTAAGGGAACAAAATTATTTTTTGTATTTTTAATTTAAACCCAATTGGTTTTATTTATTATGTTTGTTTCATATATGCTAACATTGGTCCGCTCCAAGATTAAGTCTTGTATATCAAGTCTTCTATTGAACAATGAACTTATACTAAGATTTTTGTGCTTATCCCCCCCCCCCCATTCATAATTTTGTTAGACTACAGAAATTTTGATAAGGCAAGGAAATCTGGTCCTTGAAATAAAAGGCTTCTTGGTTGAATTGTAGCAGAAAGATTATGCAGGAAATCAGGTAGTTCTTAAGTAATGTGATCAAATTATTGTATCGCTATTTTTTTTTTTTTTTTTTTTTACTGAAATTCGTAAACATCCTGGCAACAATGGTGGCGCCATGCAGGCTACATTATCAATGACGAATATAATCATGAGCAACCTAATGCGGCTATGAGTGGAAAACAATTTTGTAGAAAACACTAAAAACAAGATCAGCTTTTGAAAATGATCAAATATCTACAAGAAATGTTGATTATATCGAACTGGTATGGACATTGTTAGTATTTTCATTAGTTCAACAATCTTTTAGTTGACTCTTTTAAACTTATCGGAAATTATAAGTGTTATTCGTTTACAAAAAACTCCTGTAATACTTTTCAATTGCTCGAATTAGAGCACATGTAGAACATGTGTTCTAATAAAAAAACGAAAATTCAATAAAATAACAAATTAAACAGTTTAAGAATAGAATGGTTTATATTACATAATCAATATATTAATATGGCTTCTAAATATTATTTCGTTTTAAGGACCTTTAATATTTTTTTTATAAACGGCATAAGGAATCTAAAACACACTTTCTCTCTTTACCGAATATAATCAAAATATGACCACAGGTGTGGTCTGTAGACATGTACAGTACCACAGTGGTGATATCTGGTGGCTAACCACTACAGTTGCTGAGTGTACTGGTAGATGCCAACCGTGTGGTGCTGTCGGGACATTTACACTACTACAGTGGTGATATCTGACTGATACAGTATTGCAATCTTCTGCCCTCAAGATTGACTGCAGTTGAGACCTCTTCATTAACTTCGGCTCCAGAATTTGAACCGAGGCGTTTGCACAAAGGCTTGATAGAATATTGGCCCCGAAATCTGCTTTCGTCTCAGAGGAATGGCCAAGGTCTAATAGAAGGTCACTTTTGTTCTTTTGTTGTGTTCTGCCGTAATTGTACAATTGTTCACCTCTATGATGTGCCCTCGTTAGAAAGTCGTACTGATTCACCCCATGCATGGCTATACTCCACGCCCTGCCTCCCCCCAAACCCAGGTCACCCCCAGACAAACAGTAGCCTCCAGAACTACTAACATACAGTAGCCTCGGCATTAGCTCTAGTTTTTTTGAGCGTTTTGATGACCCTCACCCCCTCTCTGGGGGTGGGATGACCCCCAGAACTCTTAAGGCTTCGCCTTTTGTCGTGTCTCACCAAGCACGTCAGCGTAGGTTTTTCCGCTTATCGGCTTGATTAGAAGAGCGTCAAGGTGTTTGCTTATAGGCTCTCTTCTTCTTGGGATTCTTTGCCGTCTCGTCCCCAGGCAGGACTGCTGAGGACGGTTCTTCTGCTTCCCCTTCCATTTCACATTTGTCACCCACCCTCCTGGTTTGTTTTCGATGACCTTCTTCTTCTCAGTAAAACAAGCTCAGCTAGGCTTGAGGTGCCTTAATTGGAGCGGGCCACAGTTGAGGACATGACATCTGTTGTCGTGGCGAGGTCTGCGTCGACGAAGAGATGCGGGTCCGTTCACATGACTTCCAAGACTTGCGGAGGTGGAGGATGTAGTTAAGATAGGATTCCAGCTTGGTAATCCCAGTCTTAACGTCCTGGTTCTTGTTCCTCTATCTGCGTGTCACTGATCTTATCTGTCTGAGAGTGTCAAAACACTTCGTCAGGAGCACCTCCTCCAACTGCCTGGCCAGCGTGATCACGGCTTCTTATGGCGAAGCCACAGTGGTGATATCTGGTGGCTAACCCCTAAATTTGCTGAGTGTAATGGTAGATGGCAGCAGTGTGGTGCTGTCGGGACATGTAGTGTACCACAGTGGTGATATCTGGTGGCTAACCACTACATTTGCTGAGTGTTCTGGTAGATGGCAGCAGTGTGGTGCTGTCGGGACATGTACTGTACCACAGTGGTGATATCTGGTGGCTAACCACTACATTTGCTGAGTGTACTGGTAGATGGCAGCAGTGTGGTGCTGTGGCGACATGTACTGGTACTGTACCACAGTGGTGATATCTGGTGGCTAACCACTACAGTTGCTGAGTGTTCTGGTAGATGGCAGCAGTGTGGTGCTGTCGGGACATGTACTGTACCACAGTGGTGATATCTGGTGGCTAACCACTACATTTGCTGAGTGTTCTGGTAGATGGCAGCAGTGTGGTGCTGTGGCGACATGTACTGGTACTGTACCACAGTGGTGATATCTGGTGGCTAACCACTAAAGTTGCTGAGTGTTCTGGTAGATGGCAGCAGTGAAGTGTCACTGTGTTTATGGGTGCCGCAGTTTTTACAGTTTAAATATCACGCAGTGCATCTATATCGGTGAGTGCATTAGTGAATATTAATACAACTTATAAAACTTGTCTGACTTAGTTGATAATAAAAATTATTAATTTAAATAACAATTATATGGATTTTTGTTTATAAAAAATGTGTATATTGCTTTATATGTCAATATCATATATGTCTCAAAGTTCGGGGATATTTGTTTTTACAGATATATACGTTTACAGTATTACACTCTCTTATTTTTATGAATAGTTTCATTGAACATAATCCGTTGAGATTATTGTATAAGATATACGAGTATTTTAATAAACATGACGTTTTTTCTTTAATATTTTTGAAGTGATTTGATAATATTCAGTTTACAGTAGGCCTATAAATTTTATTGTTTGGTTAATAATTCTAATGTTCGTATATTGTAGTAACAAAATCTCTTATATAATGTTATTCTTGTCAAATTCGATATCCCGTATTAACGTTGTCAATATATAGAACACTTCAACAGTAATATGTAACTTTCCTATAGAATAGCTTTGGTAGCTGCTGTTTCATAAAGTTAATTAGGGAAACGATTTAAATGTACTTAAATTATATGTTTTGGCTGGAAAAGCCAAATTTTCAGAGATTTTACTTTTCAAACGGACAGCAAACATTTGTGTTACGAAATTCTCTAAGGGGAAATGGCTGAAGAAAATTTCGTTTACACAACAGAATTTTGAATAATTCTAGGATTTACTTTTAACATTTTGGAGTAATCAGAATTTTAGCAGATAGGTAAAACAATTTACCATAAATTTCTATTTTTCACCATAATTTTATTATTTGTTTATTACTTTCAGCCAGTTAAGTATTTCTCCTGATTCACAAATGTGTTAAATAGTCACTGGTGTTAGTCATATGTAATAATTATTAATCCTTTGCATCACTACAACGTAGGCTATTTCAGATATTTTTGGTAAACTTTAATCCAATGCGATTGTTGTCAATTTAAATTATTGTCCATGCTTTGAACTCGATTAGAACTACGATTAGACTAACCACAATTATTATTTAGTTCATCGATTTCGTTTTATTTAACAAATCTATATAAATATAAAGCAAAATGAGTATAATTAGAACACTAAATTCAGAAATTCCGATAAAAAGTTTGACAGCAGACCATTTTCGAACAGTTTTTGTAGGTTACACGAGCTCCTTTAGGCTATTTATACGTAAATCCTCATAAATTTTCACCCTTTGAAAATACAGTATTAGAATAAGCTTATAAAGCGATAATTAGTAATGCGTATAATGCGCTTTTAAAGGTGGTTTTACTCGACTTGAAAAATCTGAAAAAACATGCTTTTTAACAGATTATTTTATACTCCAGCTAAAACTTCACAGCGTCAATTGTGTTAAGGGTTCTAGTAGTGAAAATACGTCCCAGTTTTGAAAACTACCTCGAGTCCAAATTAATAAGTATAACACATCTAGCAGGATAATTCCATTTTAATTGTTTGACACACAATATTTATTATAAAAATTGTGTGTTTGATTGTAGTAGCGCCAGTCAAGTGTGGTTTATGTTTACAACAACAGGCCAACTCGAGTTGAAACTGACAATTTAAATCTTCTTGAGCGTCAGCAGGAGCTTACAAATGACGGAACCTCGGATCCACAATAAACACAGTTCACAACACGGCTGGCCCAGCTTGGATCCCGTGGATTAAATGATTTAGAACTAACCTATTTATAATCAGAGACCACGTCACACGAGCCCACGCAACAGTCTGACGTTCTACGCAAATGGGCCAATTTGTGCCCCTCCGTCCCTCCTGTATAGTGTATAGTGTATAGTGGTACGGCAACGAGTCTAATTACAGAATACACATCGCGCTGTAAGTAATTGACTAAGCATACATCGATAAATTCCAATATTTGGACAACAAAAACACATTTTATGTAGTTTTGTTTTCATTGCCTAATATTGAAACACAGACAAATGATTTAACCACAAAATGTTTGTTATACTATTTTGTTGATATTAAGAGAGTTCAAATGTGTATGCTTGCTTCGTAACCAATAATTAATCTAAACGGTATTTTAAAGCCCAAAAGTTTCTGTGGTCAAAAGTAATTTTTAATGCGAAACAATGATGAACTTTATTAAATATTTCATAGAGAAAGTAATAAATGTTCGTCTTTACAATGAAAATGAAAAAATGAAAAATGATTTATTTAGTCAGGCAAAGTTAGGGCCACATGGCCCTCTCTTACACTTAACCTGTTTATACAAATCTAAACATACAAATAAACAAAACTATGTACAATACAAATAAAATACTATGATCTATTTACAATATTTAATGTAAAAAGAAACAATACACTTTTAAAACATACCACCTTACATAAACACCCACACACACACACACGTACACGCACACACACAACACACACTCGCAAGAACTAGCACACACACACGCACACCTGTCAGTGATCAACCAAGCGAACGCCTAGGACATCTGAAAATTTTTAGAGAATATTTTTGTAGAAATCCAACCAGGTAAATTGTAAGGCCTGGTCTTCTTTTTCAAGACGTGCCCAATACTGTACTTCAGATATTTCATGAATTTCCATGGTTTTGGAATACGTTTATAAGAGTGTGAATGTACAAACAGATTTTAAATGTGGTTGAATGTGATAAATTTAAGTACCTATTTACAAGCGTTATTAAGCTACACTCAATCAGAGGACCTGGTTAAAAGGTGTTTGACTTTAACTGCCGTAGGTTATTTAAAAACCGCTGATTCCCCATAATCCATATTTCATATGCATTTTCATAACTTAGTGTACCTATATGGTTTCCATGGTTGTAGCCTATATGGTCATTGTTAAAGTCTAGTTTTCAGAGTACATAAATGACCTCTCTTTGCCAGGATATATATCAGCTGACTTTGACGGGAAACTGTCACAACCAGTCATGACTTCCGGTCATGTCGAATGTCACGGCAGTTGCAGTTCTCAGTTGTATGTGTTTTACATAACATTTGCTAAGTATCTTTATGAACATAGGAATCACAACGTACCGGTAATGTGTGAGCAGGGCTTCGGAGACCCTACAAGTGTCGGTCGATTTCTGCACTAGGGCCCAATCTTGTGTTAACCACGCCTGTTTATCAATAGACCGCTGAAACATGTTTACCATAATGTTCATTTACATTACAGATACTTGTGGTGTAGGAATGACTACAAGCTCTATTCATCAAGCTGCTTCAAGCTCAAACTCATATTTTAAAACACATCATAACTTCACAACATTTTAGTTAGAGTGAACTTTTCGAAGGCGGGTTTGTGGCACAGTTTTCCCAATATAGGAGCATATTGAATTATTGTACTACTCGAACTCGACCTATGCCCCGTTCGAGGTTCCCTTCCGACTATTTGTGGACCGTCCCGAGTGCGACTGAAAAATATTTGATTTTTAATAAAGGACATACGTATTTGCAAAGCTTTGTTGCACTATCTGCAATGGCAAAAAAAAAATGTCGCTCGCGGACTTTTTGAAGATCCTTTAGTTTATAGGCTTTTTTGGTTCTGTAAAACATAATTATTAGCAGGAGTGATTTGAGGTAGTTTTGGTTTCTTAATTTCTCTGTGTGCGAGTTTGATTAAAAGCCATAATTTTTACGAGATCTTAACAAAAATTTAAAACATAATCATTTTGCTTATATTCTTGTTGTTCTTGTTTTTAACATCTCAAGAACTGTGCACTTTTGTGTAAATAACAATATGTGGTAACTTAGCACATTGAACATTTCATCCACATGTATCGTAGTTCCATGGTATGTATCTATCAATGTATTCTTAATGGAAGTATCTGGGTCAAAGACCACGAATTTCAGAGTCTCCAGAATCCAAAACATCAAATAATGAGTACATCAAACTGTACATGTATCCTAAAAAAGGAGAATTGTGTCTTTACATTGTACTAGGTATTCATTAAAACATGTATTGAGGTCATTTTATGTTGGTCTGTTTTTTTGTAATGTAATTAATTATATCAATCAATTAATTAACTAATTTAATTGTGTACATTACCAGCCGACCCGTGCGAAACATTCGCACTGAACCCTTCTCAAATCACACTTATTGAGGTACACAACATACAGTTATTTCTGCGTAGTAAGTGTGTTGTTGATTGAACTATGGGTCACTTCAGGAATAGAGTCTACATTTTAGATAATTAACCTTTTAAAAATATGATGTTTTTATTAATTTAATTCACATGTTTCAGCTAATTGAATAACGTTGGCACATCTATCTATCTATATATATAATACGCTAAGCCGATTTTTGTAAACAGAACTCCTCCCACATTTTTGGACCGATTTTGATGATTAAAGTGTCAAAAAAATGGCCCTGATCTGTAGTTTTGCAAAGTGTTTTTGGTTTTTTGAAATCTTTATTAGTTTGGGCAGGATCTTCCATCAAAGTTGGGTTTTCTCCCATAAGATTAACATGGGGAAATCTAAATATTTAATTGGAAACTTTATCTTCACTAATTTGATAGAACGGCTGGATGTAGAAACTTGGTAGAGGTCTCCAATTAAAGAAAGGCCTTGGTCTGTAGATGAGTTATCAAAAGAAACACGAAGTAAATTCCCTTAGGGCTCTGCCCCAGAATCCTTTAAAGATACCTCGACAAATTTGTTTACCTTTTGGCCATGTGGATACTTTTTAGTGAAACAGCTGTTGATTTTTCAATTGTGTTTTAAACAACACACATTTATTGGGAGTTACTAAACTGTCCAAAAAATTATTTGCAATGCTATTTTCTGATTTTAAAATTTATTTTATTCTGTATCATGTCATGTTTTGCAATATAACATTCCATTACGAAATCAGTGGAAATTCCTTTTATCACAGAAATCTAACAATAATTTCTTATTGAACTATCTTATATCTGCTGGACGGGTTGTTGTCTGCCTTTTCCCCCACTTTTGCCTATATTTTATCATATTATTCTACAGATCATCATAGGTTCACGAGATTATTGTTATACAGTACATGTTTTCAATCATTGGAAAAATCTTCGATTGTGTAATACAATACAAAATTATACAAGTGCAGAAGGGCACGTTGCCCATTTGAGCAGTGTCCATATTTTGCTAAATTAATAGTAGTTTACAGCAACTGGATAAAACATTTTACGATATTTATGTAGAAATATGTGCATGATTTAGAAAGTCATTAAGCTGTAAAACTGCAGTTTACTACAGACTTTTCAGAGAGATTACTTTGATGTTGTTAATTCAGCTTAGTGAAAACATAATATAGATAAGTATACAAATATGAATTTGAACTTTTAGAGAGCCTTTAAATGTTATTAGAATAACGAAATGGGTTGTGCATGTTTACTAACGCTACTCAGCAACAAAAACCATTTAATTTAACTCTAAAAATATATTCTTAAAGTGCACTAAGCAGCAGCCTCAAAAATACTATGTAACTTACCCATATTGTTACAAAATGCTCAAACTCACATTGTGACATTTATAATTCGGCTTATATTTCTCCAGCAGATTATTTATCTGCAGAAGAAGTTTATTGTGCTCTTATCGTGTGTAATAACATCCAAACACAGAAACCTGACCTAAAATAGTAGCCTACCTATCTTGACAAATTATTTGAAGTGGTCTATATTATGACCGTGGCTCACTGGGTTGTTAATATGATTTAAAATAACACGATATTTTGGCTGTAAAAAAGGCACAAAGAGTAAATACTATTTAAGCAGTTACTGCCATGACAGAAAGGTCATATTCCTTTTAAACTAGATCACATCATCTTTTATAAGATACGTTGTTTAACAATGCATGTAAACGTCAATATTTACGTAACAGCCAATTTGGAGTATTTATTGCTTTTTGGAAATGCCGCATTGTTATGTAATTCGAATTATTTGTTGCCAATGAAGCCGCACAACCATATAAACGAGGAGCTCCCTAACAGTTCAAGAGTAAAAGTCAACTTCACTTCAAGTATATTCCACTACACCTAACTCTCCGTTCTCCGTAGATGAATAATTAGCGTAAGCCTTGACAGTGACCGTCGATTTCGACGGGTTTCACCTAGTAAACATTAAAAGTCTAAATAACTTACAAAATGATATATTAGATCGATTTAACAGAAAAATACAGAAAAGTGAGTAATTTGTATTTTTTCCTATGTAGATGGTAAAATTTTTTTTAAATAACACCTCAGTTATGAAAATTGATGAAGAAATAATGAAGTTATGGCCTACCGACAAAAATAGCTCTTTAGAAATTATAGTACATAGATATTTAATTTATATTAGTTACCCTACTTAATGTCGTGTATATGATCACAAAAAAATCCTTTTCTTGAGTTAAACTAGTAGTACAAATAGCTTATTTTTTGAATAGTTTAATTTAGTTTTTCTCATCACGCCTGTGTGTTGGTTTGGCCAGTTGTCAGTTGTTGGTACAGCGGCGTTTGACCCTGTCTATCAGACCAACCATCTATCCACCGACCGTGACATTGCTGACCACTACGTGAAATTCCCTCAAAGCAGGCAAGTATAAAGAATTGCATCTGCTAATCATGGATACATGCAGGATTATTTCTGCCTGAATTGCCAAATCTGGCTAAGATTGTAAAAATGCTGATTGTTCGAATTCAACAAGAACTGTTTACTAGTTGACATTACCAATACAAACAAACATAGAAAAAATACTGATACAAAGGATATGTATGTAATGTCCACATCTTATTTATGAAACTTGTTAAAGATGTTGATAATTCTGAAACAAACAGATGAATTAGTTGTATTATATCTATAAACAATGTTTTAATTTATTGCTTTATTTAAAACCATGAAACGTGATCTCTCCGCTCAACTGGTTTTCACTGCTATAAAAGCAATCCTAGCAATACATTCCTACATGTGTTGCCATTTTTATTTGTGTTGGTTGTAGTGATGCCTGGAAATGTCTTGCAGTTGTGTGCTGCTGTTGTGTGTTTATAAGAGATGTTTACATTGTGTTGGTTGTAGTGCTGCAGTGATGCCTGGAGATGCATCACCGTTGTGTGCTAATGCTGTGTTAATAAGAGATGTTTACATTCTGTTGGTTGTAGTGCTGCAGTGATGCCTGGAGATCCATCACCGTTGTGTGCTGCTGTTGTGTGTTTATAAGAGATGTTTACATTCTGTTGGTTGTAGTGAGTGATGCCTGGAGATGCATCACCGTTGTGTGCTAATGCTGTGTTTATAAGAGATGTTTACATTCTGTTGGTTGTAGTGCTGCAGTGATGCCTGGAGATGCATCACCGTTGTGTGCTGCTGCTGTGTTTATAACAGATGTTTACATTGTGTTGGTTGTAGTGCTGCAGTGATGCCTGGAGATGCATCACCGTTGTGTGCTGCTGTTGTGTGTTTATAAGAGATGTTTACATTCTGTTGGTTGTAGTGAGTGATGCCTGGAGATGCATCACCGTTGTGTGCTAATGCTGTGTTTATAAGAGATGTTTACATTCTGTTGGTTGTAGTGCTGCAGTGATGCCTGGAGATCCATCACCTTTGTGTGCTGCTGTTGTGTGTTTATAAGAGATGTTTACATTCTGTTGGTTGTAGTGCTGCAGTGATGCCTGGAGATGCATCACCGTTGTGTGCTGCTGCTGTGTTTATAACAGATGTTTACATTGTGTTGGTTGTAGTGCTGCAGTGATGCCTGGAGATGCATCACCGTTGTGTGCTGCTGTTGTGTGTTTATAAGAGATGTTTACATTCTGTTGGTTGTAGTGAGTGATGCCTGGAGATGCATCACCGTTGTGTGCTGCTGCTGTGTTTATAAGAGATGTTTACATTGTGTTGGTTGTAGTGCTGCAGTGATGCCTGGAGATGCATCACCGTTGTATGCTGCTGTTGTGTGTTTATAAGAGATGTTTACATTGTGTTGGTTGTAGTGCTGCAGTGATGCCTGGAGATGCATCACCGTTGTGTGCTGCTGTTGTGTGTTTATAAGAGATGTTTACATTGTGTTGGTTGTAGTGCTGCAGTGATGCCTGGAGATGCATCACCGTTGTGTGCTGTTGTTGTGTGTTTATAAGAGATGTTTACATTGTGTTGGTTGTAGTGCTGCAGTGATGCCTGGAGATGCATCACCGTTGTGTGCTGCTGCTGTGTTTATAAGAGATGTTTACATTGTGTTGGTTGTAGTGCTGCAGTGATGCCTGGAGATGCATTACCGTTGTGTGCTGCTGTTGTGTGTTTATAAGAGATGTTTACATTGTGTTGGTTGTAGTGCTGCAGTCGTGATGCCTGGAGATGCATCACCGTTGTGTGCTGCTGTTGTGTGTTTATAAGAGATGTTTACATTGTGTTGGTTGTAGTGCTGCAGTGATGCCTGGAGATGCATCACCGTTGTGTGCTGCTGTTGTGTGTTTATAAGAGATGTTTACATTGTGTTGGTTGTAGTGCTGCAGTGATGCCTGGAGATGCATTACCGTTGTGTGCTGCTGTTGTGTGTTTATAAGAGATGTTTACATTGTGTTGGTTGTAGTGCTGCAGTCGTGATGCCTGGAGATGCATCACCGTTGTGTGCTGCTGTTGTGTGTTTATAACAGATGTTTACATTGTGTTGGTTGTAGTGCTGCAGTGATGCCTGGAGATGCATCACCGTTGTGTGCTGCTGTTGTGTGTTTATAAGAGATGTTTACATTGTGTTGGTTGTAGTGCTGCAGTCGTGATGCCTGGAGATGCATCACCGTTGTGTGCTGCTGTTGTGTGTTTATAACAGATGTTTACATTGTGTTGGTTGTAGTGCTGCAGTGATGCCTGGAGATGCATCACCGTTGTGTGCTGCTGTTGTGTGTTTATAAGAGATGTTTACATTGTGTTGGTTGTAGTGCTGCAGTGATGCCTGGAGATGCATCACCGATGTGTGCTGCTGCTGTGTTTATAAGAGATGTTTACATTGTGTTGGTTGTAGTGCTGCAGTGATGCCTGGAGATGTATCACCGTTGTGTGCTGCTGTTGTGTGTTTATAAGAGATGTTTACATTGTGTTGGTTGTAGTGCTGCAGTGATGCCTGGAGATGCATCACCGTTGTGTACTGCTGTTGTGTGTTTATAAGAGATGTTTACATTGTGTTGGTTGTAGTGCTGCAGTTGTGATGCCTGGAGATGCATCACCGTTGTGTGCTGCTGCTGTGTTTATAAGAGATGTTTACATTGTGTTGGTTGTAGTGCTGCAGTCGTGATGCCTGGAGATGCATCACCGTTGTGTGCTGCTGCTGTGTTTATAAGAGATGAACCATCAATCTTAGAGATTTAGTCAATTGTGTTGGTTCTAGTGCTGCAGTGATGCCTGGAGATGCCTCGCCGTCGTGTGCTGCTGCTGTGTTTCCTCTCGCTCATGGTGCTGCTGTCTCTCCCTCTCTTACAAAGAGTACAAGATAATGAACTGTCTAAGAAGTGGCATCCTCCGACCACTCAGTCATCTGCCATCACTGCTGACAAGCCGACCGAGTATGGTAAAGACAAACTAGATAACAATTTGATTTCAAATTAGTTATGACTTTTGGGCCACTTAGCCCCCCCCCCCCCAACCCTTAATATTGTCATTAGAGTAATTTTTCTATGGTTATAATTACTACTTATTACTATACAACTCTTGTTTTTTTAGCGAATTTCCCTATAGGGAAGTAGCTATTACCCGAGAGTGGCCCTGTAAGTCCTGGGCCTGGGACCGATATACTTTTTCATTTTGATGTCCCTACAGGCCAAAAACTCTATTCGTTCAAAATTGTATAAATGTATATATTATTTCATCTCATTAACTATACAGCCCGATGTGTAACTCACTGACTCGCGATGGATACAAATGTTTAAACCACTTCTAGAATTAACAGCTAGAGATCTGAAATTTGGTTAGATTGTAGGTCTTGGTCCCAAACCCCAGGGAAAATGCTAAGAAGTTATAATAGCAGCATAGTTCGACTTTGGTATCAAATTAAAGGTATTTATTAGAAAAAATACATTGCCACAAACCCAAACTCAAACGGACAATGGAGAAAAAATGACAGCTGTTCAAAGATTCCTTGAATTTGCAATACAGTACTTATTGTATTGTGTATACCCGCTAGAGGGCTGAAGAAAATCATCATCTTAAGCATAGGTCGAATTTAAAGGTCTTTATTAGAATACCATGCCGCAAATTTGAACTCAAAATAAAAGCTGGTTAAAAAATGGCAGCCCTTAAATGATAAAAAATTGCAGATTCAAAAAATATTTGGAGGGCTGCCATTTTCGACTCGGTTGTCCGTTTGAATCTGGGTTTGAGGTATGTTCTTTACTAATTAAGATCTTTAATTTGATGCCAAACTTGACCTATGCTGCTATTTGAGAATTTTGTCTTGCTCCTCGTGGGCCACCCTTAAGAGGTAAGCAAGTAATAAAAAGCTTGAAAGAGTAGACATTTATGGTTATCATGGATATACCAATATATATATATGGATATGAACTGTGATAAAATTGAGTATTTTTTCAATTTGTTTTAAGATGTGTCTAACAACCTACTGTCCGACCATTTGCCTACGGTACCCTAAATAAACTAATTTGATTAGTTTGCTTTGATTGATGAAGATAAATTTCATATTAAGCTAATACAGTAATTTACTGGTAGGTTTGGGGAGTGGGTAATCTGTATTGTTGGTTTTGGCAGGCTTAACACACTCGACCCTGAGAGTGGTACACCTGGACCTGAAGGGAGCTCCACCAAAACTGTCATACCTGCGTCAGCTATTACCCCTACTTGCAGCCCAGGGGTGTACAGCACTACTGGTGGAGTATGAGGACATGTTCCCATACCAAGGGACCCTGGCCAACATCTCAGCCAGGAATGCTTATACACAAGAGCAAGTAGGTGTTTTGTTGTTTCAATTGAAAATTTAATTGTCCGGAAGTCCTTAGTTACTCACACAGCCACCATTTAGTTTTTTTCAGTTTCTATTTTTTTTTTTCTAAAGTTTTACGATTTTTCAAACTCATAAAACAAAATGGTAGCCATTTAAAATTTTGTTTCTTAAATAGCTCAAAAACCATTGATTTTACATAGATTTTACAAGAATAACTTTTTTAAGGAAATTTTAATACAAATCGACTGACACCTTATTTTTTTAGAATGGACGAGTATTAACTGAGATATGGCAATTAATTTTAGTGATACGTGACCGCTGGAGGTTAGTTGCAGCGCATGCTGAAAGCAGTCACGTATCACTAAAATTGCCATATCTCAGTTAATACTCGTCCAATCTTAAAAAATATAAGGTGTCAATCGATTTGAATTGAAATTTTCTTAAAAAAGTTATTCTTGTTTTTTTTTTATCAATGGTTTTCGAGCTATTTAAGAAACAAAATTTTTAATGGCCGCCATTTTGTTTTATGAATTAGAAAAATCTTCATAATTTTTTGATATCTTTGTCTAGTTGTCATAAATGTTTGTGCAAATTTTTCATTTCGTATAATTAACCATTATTTAGAAAGAAATTAAAAACTGAAAAAAAAACAAAATGGCGGCTGTGTGAGTAACTAAGGACTTCCAGACAATATAAATATGATATTTAGGTATGTTTCTTACCCAGGAGCAATGCCCTAAAATATTGGTAGAGTAGAGAGTTCCGGGACACCCTGTAGAATAACCTTGACGATATAGCATAAAAGTGATTAGGAACTAATCTGGCTGGGTTTCGAACTTTAAGGCATAAATGTTCTTTACATGTCTGTACCAAATTTCATCCGAATCAGACTATTGTTACGTGAAGTAAAAGCTTTATTTCCTGTAGGATAAACTCGCTACATGCCGTTAGAACATTTCACAAAGATTGTGAAATTCCTGCACACACAATATTGAGGAACTCTACATTTTTTGGCATTAAGATAAAGTAAAACCATTCCTGAAATAAAAAACCAGACTTTAATTTTTTCCTAGTCAAATCCTACATTTCCTGGACAAATGGTTTTGATTGTTGATTGTAGTTGTTAACATCTATCTTCTATATATATAAAATCCAATGTATGTTTGTATATTTGTATGTTTGTATATTTGTATGTTTGTCCTTTATGGACTCCAAAACCGCTCAACAGATTGTAATGAAACTTTCAGGCATTATTAAGTATTATTCAAGGATGGTTTGTGTGAAGTTTGGTGCAGATCCGTCAATAGGGCTCCGCCCCAGTGGCTCTGGAGTTTCCCATGTTAACCTTATGAGTACTCATATTTAAATGGAATTAAAGAATCTTAACAGCTGGTGCAACTAAACAATTTGATTCTGTGATGTTCAATAGCATTAAAAAGTTAATAGGTTTACCAACAGGGTGCAGCACTATATTTATTTTTAATTTATGAGAACAGCTAATTTGCAACCAAAAGGTGAGTGAGCGTAGTGAACGAACTTCAACCTGGAGGCGAGTTAGCGTAGCGAACGAGCTAACCTGAAGGCAAGTGAGCGCAGCGAACGAGCTCCAACCTAAAGGTGAGTGAGCGTAGCGAACGAACTTCAACCAGGACGTGATTGAGCCATGCGAACGAGCTCATCTTGAAAATGAACGAGCGTGTGACATAAAACCACAATAGGACAGGACGACGTCTGTCGGGCCAGCTATTTTTAATATAATTTAGAAGGTAGATGGGGTAGCAAAGAAAATTCTGATCATATTTAGTAGACCAATTGTCTTTTCAGTTTGGCTTTGTTCTAAAAGTTGGCGTTTTCAACAGAAATCTCGAAATCTGTGATTTACATCAGCGCAATGTATCAGTGTGGCTCAACTAAGTCAACCTTCATTCTATAACTGGCAACAGTTTTAACATGAGAAAGGAATAACACATTCACTACCTCGTGTGAAGTCTGGTAGACAACGTTTTATTGCTATAGATATAGTCAAAGACTTGACTTTTTGCAGGTGCTTGAACTCATGTCCTGGGCTGGCCACCTAGGTATGGAGGTCATTCCCCTTGTGCAGACATTTGGTCATTTGGAGTTTGTACTCAAATTAGAAGAGTTCCGGCACATTCGAGAGTTAGACACGTTCCCTCAGGAGGTTTGTCCACGAGCTCCAGGAACTCTGGGACTCCTCAAGGAGATGATCCAACAGGTGTGAATAAATTACTGAAGTAAGAATATGAAACCAAAATAATATCTGTGATAAGTAAAGGAGACAGTTTATAGAGACCCATGTGAAATTATGTTTTACTATAGTAGTACCGTACTAGACATAAGACGTTTATACGTAAAAATAAAACGTTTAACTGGTGTTTAGCAACCTCGCAATTAAACCAGTTTTGCAAACATAACAAACCTCAGCAGAGCAATGCTATCATACTTTGTTATTACGGAATGTTTTTTTTTATTATCATTTTAAATCAATATCAACTACATATAGGCCTATACTTGTTTTGCAAGTAAAATGATTAGCTTAGTAAGTTACTACAAAAACTGCTTTGGATTTTGTATAATTTTAGTGGAATACACATTGGTGCTACTATTCTAATTCTTATATAACATCCATTCTTTTCAAAACAAACACATTGAAAATCCCCACCCCCAAATCCTTTCCAGTATTATTTTTCCACACAAATTCCTTGATTTAAAGGCAAAACAGGACCTTAGAGTAACATTATACATTGATATCGGGTGATGAGCCTACCACCCTAGTTCCTACACATTGGTTGTGACGAGGTGTACCACTTAGCAGCATGTCCTAGGTGCACTCACAGTGCGAAAGGGCAAAACAGGGCCTTTAAGTAACTAAAATATACTTTGATGTTAACAGGTGATGAGCCTACATCCCTCAGCCAAGTTCCTACACATTGGTTGTGATGAGGTGTACCACTTAGCAGCATGCCCTAGGTGTACTCACAGTGGGAAAGCGCAAAACAGGGCCTTTGAGTAACTATACATTGATGTTAACAGGTGATGAGCCTACATCCCTCAACCAAGTTCCTACACATTGGTTGTGATGAGGTGTACCACTTAGCAGCATGCCCTAGGTGTACTCACAGTGGGAAAGCGCAAAACAGGGCCTTTGAGTAACATATACATTGATGTTAACAGGTGATGAGCCTACAACCCTCAGCCAAGTTCCTACACATTGGTTGTGATGAGGTGTACCACTTAGCAGCATGCCCTAGGTGTACTCACAGTGGGAAAGCGCAAAACAGGGCCTTTGAGTAACTATACATTGATGTTAACAGGTGATGAGCCTACATCCCTCAGCCAAGTTCCTACACATTGGTTGTGATGAGGTGTACCACTTAGCAGCATGCCCTAGGTGTACTCACAGTGGGAAAGGCAGCAGGTATAACTATTTAGCTATCTAAGACAATTAAGTCAGAATTTTCTTTTAACTGCGGGCAAAAACATTACTTCACACTTACAGTATAGCCTACATAAAGGCAAATTATGTTCAGTTTTAAACAACAAACACCTAGCAAACAAAATTTGCATGGCAACTTATTTTTTAACTAACTACTGTACAGTATATAAATTTTAAAATCCAATGAGAGTTTACTATAAAACAACATTTTCGTCAATCTGTAGGAAAGTTTTTAAACACACTAGTTATTAGTAGCTACACACATTACATCCCATTGGATATTATTACTTACCTGTTAACGTTACCTCACTTTTCCTTCCGTCTTTTCACAGAAGGTTTTTGGTCTTGTAAAAAATTTACCTTCATTCTCTTCAAACACCTACCTTTTATACAGACCCCATGTCTGGATGCTTACTTATAGTCTTTCCACCTCATTCTTTTTTTTCCAAGTTATCGTCTACCTTGTGTTAATCATTAGGATACAATTTTAAGGATTGAAGTATCCTCTCTCTTTCAGACTTGGTCTGTCAACATGAGCCTTTACTTTTGGTCAGCGCTACTATACCTGGGTGTCTTTTATATTTTTTCTTAGCTCTTTGCCGTTCCTCTTTCGTATTCTGTAACCTTAGATATCTTGAACTGATTCATATATTTCCTCATCACATTATTCTAAGACAAAATAAGCTTTTTTCTGATTGACTGGTCAGCGCCCACCTATGTTTCTGAACCGTACGGTAGTACTGGGTTAATTATGTTGTGGTAAAAATTGATTTTGGCTTCTCTTGACTGCCGTTTGGACCTCAACAGTTCTTTGAGATATATAAAATGTAATGACGATCAACATTTTTGTAAACAACTTGTAACATACAGGGTGGGGCAGCATAACTTCCTTTTTTTAAAGCTTAATAAAACGCACTGTATGAGTCAGACAAACTTTATTTGGTTTTAGCGAATTTCCCATATAGGGAATAAGCTATTACCGTAGTACTCACGGTAAGACCTGGACCCGGGACCGATTTTTTTTTTCGTTTTGAGGTCCCTAGAGGTCAAAAACACCATCCGTTCAAATTCATATATATATATATATATATTTATATATATATATATATGTGTCCGTTAGCGCGATAACTCGAGCAAAAATGATCCAATTTTGATGAAATTTGGTACAAACGTGTAAACCTAGGTTTATTCGAACGAGTTCGCGAACCAGCATGATCGGACCATGGGAACGGGGGTTTATGGGGGCTTTTATGGGGTAAAAATGGGTTTTTCCCATTTTTGACCCAAAAAACATAAAATTTTGCAATTTCTTTCGAAACTATTTTGTAGAGCTCAAAAAAACAAATAATTTAGTATATTGAAGCGTTATAATGCGCCTAATGGTTACGGAGAAAATTCCAAAAAATTGTAAATTTAAAATTCCCATGTTATTCTTATGGAGAATAAGTAAACTGTTGTGGTTTGCTTGTTTATAAACATATTTTGCCCAAATTTGGAAAATGTTTTTATTTCTTACTCACTATTAACATTTTACATAAAAAACTCTTTTACCCTCCCTGTTGCAGCAAACCTAAGTATGTTTTAAACTGATTCTATTTAAATAGGGAATAAACGTGATATTTTTAAGGAGACATTTTAGTGTAAATCCATTCAGGGAAATGGAAATTCGCTTAGTCTGCAGGTTTGCTGCGGCGGGGGTATTTGCAATGTAAGAACATTCTTAAAGTTTTGTTTTACGTACCGGTAGTTTTTTGAAGAGTAAATCATGCAGGTGACATCCCCCATTCTAGATACATTGAGTATACCGATTTCTGGTGTTTGTCATTACCCTTCCAAGCATAGGAGGCGTTATGTTAGCAATTTCTTCCGGGATATTGTTTTTTTTATCTTGAAGGGTCATTGGGAGGTCAACATAAACGCGAGACTCCAAAAATCCCATGGAAAAAAAATTGCATTCTAGATACATTGAGTATACCGATTTATGGTGTTTGTCATTACCCTTCCAAGCATAGCAGGCGTTATGTTAGCAATTTCTTCCGGGATATTGTTTTTTTTATCTTGAAGGGTCATTGGGAGGTAAACATAAACGCGGGACTCCAAAAATCCCATGGAAAAAAAATCGCAAGGGGACAAATCGGGAGATTGAGCCGGTCATTGCAAATCGCCCCTGATTGAAATAAGGCGTTTTGACAGTTCCTGCACGATCGCCATCTTGTATGGATGGTAATGTATGATGGTAATGGTAATGTAACATCATGGAAAACTCTCGTTACAGAACGATTGGAAAGTCCAAAAAAAGTCCCAAGGGCAGACGTTTGTTTGAGCGCTGGACGCCTTGGTGATCGATCGATCGCAACATTGAAGCTCTCACTGCATAAATGTTCACAGGTGATCTAATGGGCCATGGGACTCCAGTTTTTCGTTTTGTTGCACTTTGATGCAGTCCGTCTAAACATATTGAACCACAAAACAATTGATTTCCGTTCCGGATAAGGGGCTAACAGGGCTAAATTAAACCCATTCCGTTAGGCACGCTGGGCTGCAATCACTGAACATCCACTGGAAAAGTAGGCCTCAATGGCAAACGTATGCTTTTTGCTGTTCCAACGCATAATGGCGCCTAAACTGTGCAAGGACAAAACTTTATAGCCTCACCTCTCGAACGAGACTGCTAGCTCTTCGCTATGACATGAACAAACAAAATGGCGCACATTTAAAAAAAGGAAGTTATGCTGCCCCACCCTGTATTACTGACAGTTTGAAACAAACTGTTAGGTAAACAAAATTACATTAAAACAAACTTAAAATGATAGCATCAGCTGCTATGCTTTAAAAAATTAAACTAGATAAATAATAAAAAAAAACTGAAACACAAAACTAAAATATGGCTTCGACATTCGTTTCCTTGCAAAGATTGTCCTTCTTTCAACAGAAGAATCAGTGGCGATCCTAGGACCTTGTCAAGGGTGGGACTACCGGGGGTCCTCCCACCAGAAAATTTACCTTTTTAAAGCTGCTTGGTAAATTTTAAAGCCATTTTTAAAGTCTATAGCTTTCCAAAACACCATGACGTAGTGTATGTTTAATTTATATTTACAATGAGGGGGGCTTTATCACCTATACTCTCCCCTTGGAACCCCCACTGAGAAGAATCATGAAAATCTGTCAAGTGGTTATTTCAGAATCTGTGGATGTATAAGATTAAGGGCTAAAAAACTGAGTAAAAAGTATTGCAGATCATTTTTATTTTGATGTGAATCAAAGAGAATTGATATCTTGAAGTTGTTTGAATAAAGCAATCTTACATTTTCAAGATGATTAATTTTTCAATCACTTTGATATAAATTAACCAATTTTTTACTGCCTTAAACTATAACCTTTGGTGTCTGTATAGGTAACTTATTTTTAGTAGTTCTTACAATATAGTCATCGAAATACTTTGCATAGTTTCTAAAGGGGATCCGCCACCTCTAAACCTAATTTTCTTATTTAAGCTAATATTTTCATTTTTTCTCTCATTTTTAGTTATTTAGCGTTTATATATTAGGAATATGACAAAATTTTTTTTATATATACCTACATATATATTATATATACATATATAAATATCGGAGTGGGGGGAAGAAAAGCTTAAATAACTTTTTTGTTTATTAATATATTTCAAAAAAGTAAGTATTTTCATGTTCCTTACAACCTACTGTAACTTTAATGGTATAATAACCATAGTAACGCAATTGTTACAAAAATTATAGCAATTTTCATAGTGTAAATAATTTGACCGTAGTTTTTACCAAAAATGTTTCAAAATATATTTATTTTTGATTGTATAAGGCTTATTATACCATTAAATATAGTTCATAGTATGGGGATGATGTGGTAAAAATTTGAATTGGCTAGCTCAAATACTTTTTATTTTATTTAACAAAATGTTAAAAAAAACACGACTTTTGGGAAATTGCGTCCAAAGTCCGCGAACACCTGGTTTGCCCAAACCAGCTGTTTTCTCAAACAGCTAGTTACATATTATATTCATATAGCTCAGGTGCATTATAGCATTCAAACTGTTAAGTGTTTATATGGATGTGATAAATATGCCATTTTTATAAATACAAATTATTCTTTACTATATTATAGGGAATATATAGATGATTAAAAAAATAAAACTAAAAATCCGAAAATTCTCACTTTTGTTTTGTGGTCAAGGTACCAATAGTAAATATGGTTAGATATGCATGAAACTTTACATGGATATTGTCAAAAGCATACCCAATAAGAAAATGACATTTTTGGAAAATTGTAAAAAATCAAAAAACACCCATTTTAGTGGTGTCGGATCCCCTGGTGAAAATGAGTGATTTCAGTTAAAATTAATTTGCAACAGTATTAATTACATACAATTGTATCTTTTTTTAAATGCAGAGACATATTCACAGAACATGTGGCACAAGTGGCTGAGTTTGTCAGATCCATGTATCCTGGGGTGATTCCTCTGGTCTGGGACGACATGCTGCGCCGCTGGGACCCCGTGTATCTATCCAAGAGTCCCCTGGCATCGCTGGTAGAGCCGGTGGTCTGGGCCTATACAGACAACATCACTAGACTGGTGCCGCACTATGTCTGGTACTGGTACTCAAAGACATTCCCCAGAATCTGGGTGGCTGGTGCCTTCAAGGGGGCCTCCTTGCCCACCTCTGTACTGCCCGATGTCAAGATGCACTTTCACAATCAGAAGTCTTGGCTGAAACTTCTCTCACATTCCAACACCAAGATTGGTGGATACGTCCTCACAGGTTGGTCCAGATTCGATCACTTCGCCGTCCTCTGCGAGATACTCCCTCCGTCGATTCCTTCTCTGTTACTAAACCTAATATTGATCTCAACCAAAGAAGATGACAAAGTAGTTATTGACATATGGAGAAAAGCCTTGAAATGCTCATCAAAGTCTACACTTTCCATTGACTTCTCGTCTAGAAATCACAGACCGTTGACTTTATGTTCCTTTCCTGGTCTTAAAACGTTCCTTATAATTTCAAAGTATTTGACTTTGAAATCCAGAGTTGACAGCTATTATGAGTCTGTAACAGAAAAAACCGCGTGGATGACGCCTTACAACGTTAAACATAATTTTACAAGTCCATATCGAGTTTTAGAAGAATTTAGACTGAAAGAAGGTTATACACTGATCAAAGAGGTTAAAAACTTTGTAAATGAAACTATTATTGCTTTATCGGAACATTTCGATGAGTTTACTGTGAATGAATGGATAGAGCAAAGAATTCAACCTATGGATGAACAGCTGACATACTTAGAAACTGTAAGTAATCAACTCATCACAAGAAGATCGTGGCCTAGGCGGCCAATTGGTTCTGTGTGGACTTAAAATTAGTTACTTTTAGTTAGAGTAATTATTGGGACCATTGTATGCGAGTTTTAATTATTATAAATAGTTTTACAGATATATTTCCTTCATAAGGAACGTTTTGAATATTGTATACTGAAATAGCAAACCATAGATTTATTTCAATGAGGTTTTTTTACCCTTAGATCACAAATACACTTAACATCAACCCTTTTTGTGCAGTGCAATAAAAAAAATAGCCTAACCTCAACATCCAAAGTTAAGGGTAACTGTATTGACTCGAAATTGTTCAATATAGTCCCCTTTATTGTATGGTTAAAAGTTACTTCATTTTGAGCATCGGGTTTGGGATGGAGGAGGGGTAAAAGTTTAACAAATTGATTGTAGGTTTTTTGTTGTTATTAAATATCTTGAAAACCATGTAGCTTAGTACAAAATACATTATTTACAAACATGCTCTATGATTAATTTCAAACCAGAATGGTTCTCTTCATAATCTTGTTAAAGTGAATGGTTGAAGAGTTACAAAAGCTTTAACATGGGAATTTGACAATTTTTAACGCATGAAAAATTATGGGGGTAGCTAAATATATTTAAAATAGTATATTTCATCACTATGGTGAGGGTGAAAAAGTCACTTTTTGCCCGTGTGGTGTGGTAAACTATATTTTTTGTCATATTGCATCATTAATAATCAACAAACAAAGCTAGAAAACGAAATAACTTTTATGTAAAAATAAACTCTCAAAACCACTTCCAGCTTGTTTTCAATCCTGCTATCCAAATAATAAGCAGCTATTTAGTAAGTGATTCAATAATTTTGTCTATTACGATTGTGGTACAGTACATTATACCATCGATATGTGTCAAGCAATATACAAAAATATGCTAAAACCTTACCTAATAAATCATTTGATAAATAATTTAGGTCAATACAATTGACACAATTTAAAATTACAAATGTTTACAATAGCTGATTTGTACTCCCTAGAGACCAAAAATGATTTTTACTCCCTAGAGTAAAAATGCTACTTTAGACCCGCAACTCATGTATTAAAAACGGCTGTTTTTGCTGCAGTATGACGAAAAAGTAATAGAGATAGAGCTACAAAACATGGAACATAGTCACTGGACATAAACATTTAAAACATTATTTAATGATACGCTACCTTCTCAATGGGACAGTCCGCTAGGAGCCAGAAGAAAATCTTTTAAGGTAAGCATTGGTTGATATTTACATCATATTAAAGGCTATGTTAACAGTGCCGCAAACACAAACTCCAACGAATGATTGTGTCAAAAATGGCAGCCGTTAAACGATTTCATTCTCTTCATCAAGATTATGAAGAGGATCATGATCATTCTTGGACGAAATTAATTTATCTTAGATCATTTTTGTAAATAACGTATTTTACGCTAAATTACATGGTTTTTGGAATACTTAATAAAAACTACAATTTGTTCAAATTTAACTTCCCCTCCCCTCCAAACAAGACCCTTAAAACTTGTTACTATACAATAAGGAGACTTTATTGAACAGTTTTGAGTAAAAAATAACCTTCTTTGGATGTTGAGGTTTAGGTCTAATTGCACCGTACTATTTCTGCACTTGCTATACGCAGCCATTGACTATGCAAGTATTAGAGTAGACACTCAATGGGGGCTACCGTTACCTGAACAGCGTTGTTGCAGAGTAGCGTCAGCTGCCTGAACTACACAATCTCGGGCAAGTCGGTATTACAGTTTAGTTGTTTTCTAAGATTGTGTTTGTTGTAGGTAGTAAAATGTTGTTTTGTTGATGAAATTTGTTTGATTGTTCGTGATCTCGTTGTTTTATAATGCTAAATAATTTAAAGGTGCTCAGAGGCACTTTGCACTGAGTGCACTACTACCGTCTACCGCGACCAAAGCGTCAGCAGCCCAATCTATGTCGCCAAAATCAGTAAAAGAGTGAACATTTTGAAACGTACGTTTTAATGTCCTTGGCCTTTTACTTCTTAGATACTGTATTTGTAGTATATGTGTTCTAATATTTTTTGGGACGGGGGCAACATGTTACAAGGATTTATTTGGTTTTAAGTGTTTTAACTTTTAAGTAGGTTCTAGGTATTTTTCTTCGTATTTTTAAAGTCTCGAAATTCACAACCATCACGTGTCCCTAGGGTACATTTTTCAACTTTCACTCTGTTTTTAGACTAACTATTCATGCCGAAACATATAAAGCCACATTTATGTCATCAATAGTTATTAAACTTACAAAAAAGCAAAAAAGGAGCATATAATAATTTTGATTTCATTGCAAACTGACTACCATGACAAAATAGGTCTGTCCTTCAATTTGACGTCCCGACCATAATGGCAAAATTTTCAACTTTGGAACACGGCAGTGGCAATCCTGGCAGCGATAATGTCAGTTGGTTTTAGAGACTGGTTCGGAATATGCGTTAGTTTTGTTGTGCCGGTAGTTTTGCATTAAAAAAATGAAGTACAAGGTTAATATAGGTAACTTTGTGCTTTTTATAATTTTGGTGTGTCCACGACCGTACGTAGTCATGTAATAAAGTAGACATGGTGTTAATTTTTGTTGATATGATATTTTAATTGTTTTTTTAACCTAGAAATCCACTTTGCCTCCTCAAACATGAGGTGTACGGCTGCCACAAGAACAGAGCGAAATAATACGTGATTTCACGACCAGGGCATCATGACCATCACGGGTTTTTTCATGACCAAAATAGCTTTATCAATTGTACTGTGTTACGGTCGTGAAAATAAATTTTAATATCATTGTAAATTGCACAGTTTAGTTTAATTGCAACACAAATCTTTCTTATAACGGTACAGTTAATTGAAGGATGTAAAAAAATTATATTTTTAACTATTTTTACATAGACAAGTATCTTTATTGCCTCATATAAGTTAATATGTGTAAAACTATTACATTTTAAAAATTAATTATGGTTTATCAAGTCTTGTGGATATTATAATAATAAGAATAGTGGAAGGAAAACCTAAATAAACAATATAGTGATTCTCGTTAATCACTAATTCCAGACCGTAACACTTGTCCCTGACCACAACGTTGATGATTTGGGTCATAAAAAATTCAAAAATTGATATATCATCATATTCCAATATTTTATACTCACAAGAAGGACGCCTCTTTAAAGAGATAAAGGTTTTTCATATATTGGGAAGGTTTGTTCGGACCTATACAATTAAAGAGATTTTTTCAGCTTTCTTCATCTCCTACCCACCTTTTTTTTAGTCCTATCCACCTCCAAAGAGAAAAAGGTTTTTCATATATTGGGAAGGTTTGTTCGGACCTATACAATTAAAGAGATTTTTTTCAGCTTTTTTCATCTCCTACCCACCTTTTTTTTAGTCCTACCCACCTCCTTGTCTTCCAAAATCAACAGCTTATCCAGCGATTATCCAACAGTCCTAAATTGAATTTGAAATCTTCAGGCGGCTGTTGGAGAGCTCACTTAAATCCAAAACGGAAGGGTGCTTGCTGTATTCGGCTATCAACGACAATAGTATTATTTGTATTGCGTTTGCATCTACCAGTTAAAGTTCGTCGCCCTCCTTCTTTTTGGCTGTCCTGGTTGACGTCTTATAGTCTCCATTATGTCGAACGTTCCTTTGGTTATGTTTTTATTTTGTGCAAATAAAAACTGGTTTAAAACAGTGAAACATCAATCTTTTCAACTAATCTAATAAATCCTTATAGCACATGTCTCTAATTTTAGTATAACCAGTTGTTTCAAATATTAGTGTCAAATTCAAAGTATTCATCTGTTCAAATAAACAAACATTTTCTCCCTTTTCATTTTACATAATTAACACCGTTTTTTTTTTTTTTTTTAGGTAGTAAAGTAGTGAACAATAAAAGTAAATTGTAATTATTTTTTTATTTGAGACCATATATTCAAAGTGCAAGCATTTTTAATATTGTTGAGAATAGATTATCCACTTTCTTGTGTTTCGAACGCTATTTTTCGCTACACTACAAAGGCTAATAAATTATATATAAAAAAAACATACATTAAAATATGTCTTTAATCCAGTTACAAACGTTTCTAAACTAATGGCAGTTTTTTGATTGACCATCTATTAAAAGTTCAAATTTATATTGGTTGTACAGTTTTGGTTGTTGCAAATTGAAACACTTGATAAAAAAAAACAAATGTTTGTTTGTTCACATTGACAATACCGTACAAAAAAAATATAGGAAACATTAAATTTGCACCATCAATTTTCTTTTGCATGGTCATCAATCATGAATTTTTGCTGGTTATAAACATTATGAAAACATCGATTACATAGTAGTGAAGCGAAAATACAAAACAACATACCTTACATCAACAAACAAAAGAAACGTGTTAAATTTAATTTTAAGCTATATTACTTTTAATCTTTAAAATGGCTTAGCCATTCGAGATGCACCTTTGCCCATGCGCTAGACAAAACTACCTCCTCGGTAGTATCAAAAAATCACTCAGCAAGCAGTCATGGCGGTCACTACTGTACGCCCGCGGGAGCGAGGTAGTGCTGTGTGACTTGGCCCATTTGATAACATGGTGAGTGATTTTTTAAAGTTTGTTCCTGCCGCGGTAGCGAGTTCGGTGTGGCCAGGCCTTAAGACTTCATTAAGCAATAAATGGAGTAAAACCGGTAGAGTATGTGTAGATAAACTAAAACTATGGTTTAAAGGTGTAAATGAGTAAGGATTTATATGAAACAATGTTAATATATTTAAATTGATAATAATAATAATTCAGTTATATAAGAAATATGTAGCCTAGGCCAAAAAGGTTAGTATATTGAAATTAATAATATTTACATTTAAATGCCATTAAATTAGAAATATTCAACAAGCTTTGGCAGTTGAAATCAATCAAACTATTATAAACAAACACTGGAGTAATTAGCCGGTGACTTGTTTTATTAAGTGCTAAGGTGAAAGGCAAAACAAGTTAACGGTTAACCCTACTGTAGTAAGAATCATAGTAATATGCTATTGTCACAGCCTTAAATCATCTTCTTTTGTAATATTAATTAATTGATTTTAAACAACATCTTGAGATCATCAAGTGTCAGTTTGGATGATGCTTTCTTGGCTCCGGTGAGTACAGAGTCTGAGATTGACAGCTTCTTGTTTTGCAAACCCAACACATTTTCTTCAACCGTATCACTTGTAACAAACCTAAAAAGCAGTTGTTATCATTAGTATTTATTTGTTTTAAATGTAGAAAAAGAAGAATCTTAATAGCCTATTACTACATTCTAACAAAAATAAAATGCTTCAAGGAATTTAAGAATGGATTTAATTTGTATTCATCTATGGTTAATTTATGGCGTCATTCTTATATGATGTCCAGGTACAACTATTAACGATATCTGAAAATGTTAATAGCAGAAAAATAAATTGTGCATAGTAATAAATTTGTATAATAATAAATTTGTGGGGTAGCGAATTGGTTTATTGAAACAAATTTTGACTTAAATCTTCTGAAGGACAAATAGATGTTCTAAAACAGTAGAAAAAAACTCTGCCCCATCCGATAATGTCAACTTTGTCTTAATGAAAGTGACGACTGAACATAGGCGTAATATGCTAGTTTGATTTCCTGAGTACCTAAATATATCTCACAGATCCCCAAATACAAAAATGTATTTTCTTAATTTAGAGGTTAATCAATTTATATGATCAGACCATTTCATGCAGTAAATTGTTAAAATCACACAAAAATATTTATAAGAACTTACTCCTTCAATGGGCTCACAAGAAAAATTAGTATTTGAAAAGTTGCCACAAGAGTGAATTAACCCTCCGAGTGTCCATAGTTTAGCCTATTTTTGGCGCATTTGCAAGGTTTTATTAAAACGGATCTGAAAAGCTTAAAACAATGTTAATTCTACTGTTCTATATACCATTTTGTTTGGAAAATCATGGGCTTCAATATCATACATAAAACCTAAGGAATAATTGTTTAAAAAAAATTGTCTAGGTAAAAATACAAATTATTTTGGAAAAATTGAAGAAAAAAATAAGTTCGCGCTCAATAAAATTGTATAAATTATAGGCCTATAAATATTTGAAAATAGCCACTTTGTTCTAAATTTTATGAGGATTACAAATATATAATAATATAAGGAAGTAGATCTGCAAATAAATAAGTTATGGGCAAAAAACAGATTTCAGTACATAGCGTTTAGCTAAGAATGCATAGCCTAACCATAGCTAGGAATCTGGCTGATAATTTACATCAATATCACTACCTACTTCTTCAGGATCATCAACCAGCCCTTCAAAATCACTTAAATCTTCTTATAATGCACCACGTATATCACTACTTTTGATTTTTAACACTAAAACAATGATAAACATAATAAAACACATCAGTCATCGGTCCGAGGTTAACTAACCTGTTTACAAATACGCACGTCAGCTGTCTGCTACAATTACGATCGGCTCGGAGAACATAAAGCGCTTAGAGACAGACCTCTGGAGAAAGCTTAGAATATAACGAAAAGAACGATACCTAACTCGATCCAGTTCAATCCGATTTTGTCAGTCATAGAGCCTTCGCCGTAAACAGTGTTCGTGAGTCGCTGCAGCGACGCATGACACTCGGAGGGTTAAAATATTTGTAAGCCATAGTCAGTGCTATCTTTTGAAATGGCAAGAGTATGCCTATGGTTTTTCAAACATTAAAGAAAGAACATTTTGTTTGAGTGATGTCTGAGTATGGCCAACAAGACCAAAAAATGTATTTTAATCATTGGCAATTGGCTTTAAGCTTTCATCATTAATAATATGTGATTGAGGTAAAAACTTCTGTACATGACATGCATCAATGACTTTTAATCTTAACTCTGGGACTATTTCGGCTACCTATTAAGAATATAAGTACCAGGGGACTGAGCCACGGCTCGGTATAGTTTATTTTTATTGTAAAAGCAATATAAAATAAAGGAAACTCACGTTTTATTTACAATTAATTTTGGTTATTATTATTTAAGTTTCAGTGGAATTTAGTTTTATTATGATGGAAATATTAACATTGATAGAGAGAGCCAAGTAAAATAATCAGTATTTGATCGGAACTATTTTCCCCTATATCGAGTAATCTTCAATAATCATTGCTCAATCAATAGTGTACTGTAAATTGTAATTTGCTACTATTCTGTGGATGGCTTATTATAAACACATGTTACAAGTCTTTTGTTTAATAATTTGTCCTCGTTTTGTTTCAACCTCGTTATTTGGCAACCCATAAGGCCATAGTTAAATTTTTTAATTTTCAAATGAGTTGTATAGCGAAATATGAATTTTCCTGAGGTAGTAGCTGTTGTCAGTCATGTTTTAGACCAGAAATAAATTATTTACTACAACATTTTAAGGAAATCGTCAAAGCCGTTTTTAAGATCTTTGTGCAAGCAAACATACAAGCAAACATTGCTCATATAAGAGTATAGGATAGATGTAAACATGTATTATAACTGTAAATTATTACTTACACTACAAAACTCCTACAAAAAAATAACAAAGGGAAATAGATCCCTAACATATACCTACACCATTCATGACATTAAAACACATAATTATGACTGTCTGGACGTTATGAAGACAGCAGAAAATCCTATTCAGAATCTACGAGAGCCATGATTGCGTATAAAGACCAAAGGCTACTGACTTGACAATATTGGGAATTTTTAGTATAGACTGGTTAAAAAATCAACAAAATCGATTCGATGAATTGAGACTAGAATCTTTAAACCAGAATATAAAATTTTAATATTTGTATGTGTATGTTTTACAATACAAAGATAATAGCTTACTTGTAGATCTGTACATCTTTCTCTTGGCCAACTCTGTAGATACGATCAAACGCTTGACTCTCAAGCTGGGGGTTCCAATGAAGGTCTAGAAGCAACAGATGATTTGCTCCAATCAGATTCAAACCAACCCCTCCAGCAGTGAGTGACAATAGAAGAACCTAATCACAAGCAAATTAATAAACTGGTCTAGCTGTATATATTCAAATTCATTAAAGAATCAGCATGATTTTGTAAGATTGGCAGCAACCATCAGGAATGTTTACACCTTGTAAGAACAGTATAGGCTCAATTATAAAAAAAATAAACTACTAGGACTATATCTAAAATTTTTATCCCACAAAATGCAAATTAAGTCTACAAAATTATAACTCAAAGCTAATCATTAAAGTAGATTTGCAATAGGATTTAAACTTTGAATTTAAAGCAACACCTATACTTACTCTTGGCCCATGATCTTTTCTGTTGAACTTATCTACAACCTCAGCCCGATCTTTGACAGGAATCTGCCCGGTGAGTCTTAAGCATTTGACACTTTTCTCTTTCAACACTGAATGAATTAAATCAAGGTGTGTAACCCACTGAGATACGATCAATAGTTTGTCATTGCTGGTCAAAATGGCTTCTATTGTCTCAACCACTTTCCTCATCTGTAATCAAATAATCAATAAAGAAAATATCATCATTCTAAATTTGTATAAAACATAATTTAGAGTGATAGATTTCTTATTAAATACAAGTAATGGCAGAGATGCATTATTAGAAATTAAACATGAGGAAAAAAGTAGAAAACTCAGTTAATTGATCTATGTTGGAAAAATAAAAGCATAACTTATTAGCATCGCCCAATGTAGTCACCATTGTTGTCAGTTGTCATGTTAGTTTTTCTCTTATTTCACATAAAAATCAATCCACAATAATATATTGGACTAGCTGCTGTACCCGTGCTCCACAATGGGAAGAAAATTTGACAATTTCGACAAACAGGTGTCCCCTTAACATCATAGCATAGGTATTTTGATAGTGTAAACTATCTCTTGGTTGATGCAGCAACAGTTATAGAATCTTTTTTTATTCCCATAACCAACAAGATGGCTTTAAAATAAATAATCAATGACCAAGTATGATAAATAGAGGTGTGCGGATATCCGAAAAATCGGGTCGGATTCGGTTCGGTTCGGATATCCGTATCCGAACCGGGCCCAAATTCGATATCTGACACTATCCGTTATATATCCGACTTTTTCGGATAGACAATATATTTTGACGTTTTGGACAGAAAACTAAATCTCCATAGCCACCATTAGTTTCCCAGGACAAAATTACAGCAATACGTTTCCAACAACCTAACAGCAAAGAAGCCGAATGATGCAATACTGATAACTAGTTTAGTCGTTATCGGCTGTTTTGCTTTACGATTAGATTCGTCTGGAACGAACAGACATAAAGCAGAAAAGAACTACCATGGTCAAATGAAAGTCAACTCGTGCTTGTCTCGCTCCTGATACTAGGGGCGCTGCGTAATAGTTTTTTTTACAGTACTGTTTCAAAGTAGAAAAATCTAGCCTACTACTGTGATGTTACGTAAACAATAGATTTAATGTTTCCCGAAAAAAAGTCAGAATAGAAACAATAGAAAGGCAACACAATAGAAGGGTGGGAGGGGTTGGGCAATGACCTCGAAAGGAGTGCGGGTGAATGAAGTCAAGTAGGACCGGAGGGGGAAGGGGTGGGTAAGACCTTGAAGCTATATATAGACTTGCATTTCCTAAACCTAAAGGACTGGCCGGCGAGTGGTATTTCAATCACAGGACAAGATACGTTGTTTTTTGGGTATTCATTGCCCGGTTTGACTTTGGATTGTCTTACTGTGTAGAAACTTTGAATAATAAAAAATAAAGTTAGAACTAACCACAATTATTTAGCATTGATTGTGTTCATATTAAATTATTAAACTATAGGGACCATGGATATATACAAACTTGTGTCGTGATTTTAATTTCAACATCAAAATACAATATTGCACAATCGTGATATTTTAGGTCATTGACCTTTATTATGCATCCGGTATTGCTGTTTCAGAAGAGAAGCACGTTGATAAATTATAAATTGATATTCCCGTAGTCAAACAGAATTATTTTATAAACCTATTAAACAAAATCATAAAATCTTACATAAAGATAACAATAACGGAAATTGTAAAAAGGGTATAAAGATAACAACGTTGTTATTCTTTCTCTTTGTTCTTCTATTTCTTGGGTTTCCCTTCATCACGCATTCAACAAGTTGCCATGGTTACTAATCACCCATGTCGTTATCAGCTTTGGTGACATAGCAGCTTTGGTGACATAGCAGCTTTGGTGACATAGCGCACAGCAGGGGGGTAAAGCTTGACGAAAATCGGTTAATTTTTACCTATTATTTAATTACCAATGAATGTACTACTTTATTGGTATTTGGTACTGTATTAATAATCGGTCAAAATGGCAGATTTTTGTCAAATTTTACACCAAATTTATTGAAATTTTAAGGTGAATATTAATAAAACAATTATTACCAAATATTTGTATTAATTTAAAAGATTGATTTGTGGTATTGGGTTCCCCACTGAGTGCAGCCGAGCGGCACTAATGAGGGTCGGACCTTCTTGGGGGTGAACAATAGACGGCTTATCAGACCCTCCCCTCCCCCGTGGTCTGGAGAAAGCTTGTAAACAAACTATTGCACAAGCGTGACATTGGGCTGCTTCCACTATAATTTTGTCAAATGAACTGTGATGTTTCAAAATCAAAAACAATAATTTGGGACCATACTGCATAACAATAATGGACTGCAATTATTGTTGAACATACAATCCATTTTTAACAAACTAAGATTGTACGATTAAAATACAATTATAAAAATTATCTTGGTATTTTACTTGGGGTAATGAAGTTATGTAGGCTAGTGTAATTCTCGGTTCATCAAGGTTCTACTGAATTATGTTTGGCAGTGAATAAGTGTAGAATGCAATTTATAAATTCAGGGATACAGACCTTTTACACAGTTATAAAGTCTAATTTAATTGCCCAACATCAAATCGTGAGCTAGAGCCCATCTTAGTGCATTAGTGATGTTTTCTAAACTTGGCAAACCCGCAAAATGCCACTTAAGGCCAATAATCCGTTCCAAAAACGTAAGGAAATACAATGTGAAAATAAACTTGAGATCGAACTCCTTTGCTTGTGAGAACCAGGAAACAAGATAAAACATAACCTCAAGTAAACAAGCCCAAACGTTTGACATCAGTCCTGCTGAGCTAAGGTGTTGTGTGAAGATTTCGGCTGCTAGTGTACTTAATTCATGCAACCAACTTTTGAAAATAAATGTTGTGAATTGTGATTTTCAAGAGAGAGAAAACTGTGGACTAGGCTAATTTGAAATTCTATAGTTCAAAATCGTCATTTAAGTTTATTTACACAGCTTGACATTGTTTTATAGGTTAAAAATACATATGAAGCTTATTATCAACCGCGCCGAACTATCCGAATCCGAACCTCCCAATATCCGATCCGATCCGAACCGAGCCTCAACTATCCGATCCAAATCCGATCCGAAATGAAATTTCACTATCCGCACACCTCTAAGATAAACAAACCTACCACATAGTTGTGTAAAATATTATATTTAATTTGTTTGGATCATCCGTCTGAAATTGTGAAATTGGCATTTGGCAGTTCTCATTGTTTACATTGAAATACCAACACAAAGGTTAACTTTGTGAATTTTCTCATGTTTCCACAAAGACCAATTATTTATATTTACTTTTGAAAACCTCACCTCAAACCTTTGGACATCAAGACCCTAGCCCGAGAGGAACTCAGGGAAGTGAAAAGGCCTAAGACATTCCAAGATATGTGGATTATCTTTGTGCTTAATTTTGGCTGTATCGGTTTAGTATTATAGTTGTGACAGCCGCACAGACAGACATACACCACCTCAAAGTTAATAGTATATAGTAGTTATGGTCGGATCCGGATATCGGACTACCGGATCCGAGCTAGAACCGGCACCCGATCGGATCCAAAAAATTCCGGATCTTGGGCTGGATCCGGTTTTTGATGGATCCGATTTTTTCCGATTTTTTTACTAACACAAAGCTGTCTGTATCCATGTAAAAGACCGTTTTTTCCCGATTTTTTAATCAATGTCACAGTGCTGTATATTACGACGCCAAGAACCTCTATGGTTGTGCAATGTCACAGTAGTGTATATTACGACATCAATAACCGGTATGGCTGGGCAATGTCACAGTATTGTATATTACAACGTCAATAACCTCTATGGTTGGGCAATGTCACAGTACTGTATATTACGACATCAATAACCACTATGGTTGTGCAATGTCACAGTACTGTATATTACAACATCAATAACCTGTATGGCTGGGCAATGTCAAAGTACTGTATATTACGACGTCAATAACCTGTATGGTTGGGCGATGTCACAGTACTGTATATTACGACGTCAATAACCTGTATGGTTAGGCAATATTACGACTAGGGATGTGTCAAATCCGGATCTCGAATCCACCGAATCTTAAGAAAAGATTGGGATTGAGAATATATTTCTTTAGAATAGAATTATGAGGCATATACTGTGACATTGACTAACCATAGAGGTTATTGACGTCGTAATATACAGTACTGTGACATTGCCCAACCATAGAAGTTATTGACGTCGTAATATACAATACTGTGACATTGCCCAGCCAAACCGGTTATAATAACCGGTAACAATAACCTGTATGGTTGGGCAATGTCACAGTACTGTATATTACGTCGTCAATAACCTGTATGGTTAGGCAATATTACGACTAGGGATGTGTCGAATCCGGATCTCGAATCCACCGAATCTTAAGAAAAGATCGGGATTGAGAATATATTTCTTTAGAATAGAATTATGAGGCATATACTGTGACATTGACTAACCATAGAGGTTATTGACGTCGTAATATACAGTACTGTGACATTGCCCAACCATAGAAGTTATTGACGTCGTAATATACAGCACTGTGACATTGCCCAGCCATACAGGTTATTGATGTCGTAATATACAGTACTGTGACATAGCCCAACCATAGAAGTTATTGACGTCCTAATATACAGTACTGTGACATTGACTAACCATAGAAGTTATTGACGTCGTAATATACAGTACTGTGACATAGCCCAACCATAGAAGTTATTGACGTCGTAATATACAGTACTGTGACATTGACTAACCATAGAAGTTATTGACATCGTAATATACAGTACTGTGACATTGACTAACCATAGAGGTTATTGACGTCGTAATATACAGTACTGTGACATTGCCCAGCCATACAGGTTATTGATGTCGTAATATACAGTTTACTGTGACATTGCCCAACCATAGAAGTTATTGATGTTGTAATATACAGTACTGTGACATTGACTAACCATAGAAGTTATTGACGTCGTAATATACAGTACTGTGACATAGCCCAACCATAGAAGTTATTGACGTCGTAATATACAGTACTGTGACATTGCCCAACCATAGAAGTTATTGACGTCGTAATATACAGTACTGTGACATTGCCCAACCATAGAGGTTATTGACATCGTAATATACAGTACTGTGACATTGCCTAACCATACAGGTTATTGACGTGGTAATATACAGTACTGTGACATTGCCTAACCATACAGGTTATTGACGTCGTAATATACAGTACTGTGACATTGCCCAACTAATATCATCAACTAATAGTTTCATTTTAAGATTTGGAAAAGTTAAGTGTCCCCAAAAAATGAGGGATTATGGGCTCAACTGGAGATTACTCTATATATAAGATATATTAACCTTTAAACATTACCAATTTAATTTTAAACAGTATGATTTAAATTGGCATTCTGTTAATAACGTTTTTTTAACAAGTCCTTATGACAATGTGTATCTGGATCCAGATCCGAATTTTTCAAGATCCGGATCTGGATCCGGTACCGACATTTTCTTGGATCCGCCCATCACTAGTATATAGATATAGTATAGATAAAAATAAATAAGAATATTCTAGGCTATAAATAGCACTAACCTTAGAACTCAAGCGATCCTTGGCAAACAATGGATTATCTTTGTCCATGGCTGTTAGATCTGTGTCATTATCATCCACATGATGCTGGTTATGATTAGTAATAGACATCCGTGTCATCTGTTCCACCAGATCAATATCAAGACCATCTGAATCTTCTATTCCACCATTAGAAATGTCTTCATTATCCAACATCTAAACAAAATTACAACATTTTCAACCAGGTAACATATGGACAGCTAGAACCAAACATGTAACAACTTGTTTAGCTTTATATATATTTTTAAGATGGATTCCTAGTAAACAAATATTAAATTTGTAAACCTGAACTACTATGTTTAGTGACACTGCTAGGCACATTTTATGCAGAAATATGAAAGATCAATGGGGAATGTGATATGTCCAATGTAGTTTTGCAACTAATATTTCAAACAGAACTTTGTAGGTACAGTATAGCCATAGATAAAACATACTCCTTTAGTAGATTTCTCATCCTTATGGAACAGCTGAAGACAATTTTATTATTAGTTCTTTACTGTGTACTGTAGAGGTTTGTTTGGTTTACAATTTGTTTCTGGTTATTTCAGTCATTTAAAATCTCGATTAACCAAATAAATAATAACTCGTCCCTAAGTTATGTAACCAAACAGTAAAGCACAAATCAAGAAATTAACCCTAAAATAATAGAAACAAAATTTTGTCGGCACTAGTGCCCAGTGTCACCATTCATGAACTACACACGAAAAACAAGCTTCAAAATTTACAATGGGATGAGAAGTCTACTTGGTGTTGGTTAGTCTATGGTATAGCTTTTTTAGAATTTCCCAATAGATAAACAGGTGTCCTCGCTTAAGAGACATTGACATGATTTGACCTTTACCAATTGTCTTAAACTTGCTAGAAGAACTTGCAGCTTAAGGTTACTCAGAAACTATTAAGTCACAGTGGCCTATTACACAGAGATCATACTCATCTCATTGGTTTCATGGTGATTGCCGAGTTTGATTACAGGCCTTCAGGACAAAATGTCAGAGCCTTAGTCACCAGATCCCATATAGAAGGCTGTCTTTACAGCAGTAACAGTATGTAGAGTATGCACAGGAGTATAACACAAAGAGTAACTGACAGATAGGTGTCTTATCACTATCAGCTTACAGTCTGGACGAGTGATGGATGACAGCAAAACTGCCGCAGCCTCAGCAGTAGCACTAGGATGTGGTGAGATTTTACATCAGAGATTTGGTTCATCTTTTTCTGTAGCCGTGCCAGCTCCGGGTGGTCTTTGAATGCGTCCTGAGCGTGCTCTGAACACCGTCAACAATCGAATCAGGAGTATAGCAGATTTGAGGGAACTTATCAGTGTACAAGAGGTAGCACTGAGCAATGACAGTACTCATGATTAGCCTACTCTTATGTATATGTTACGCACTAGGCCCTACATAAAGCTCACAGCTCACATTAAATATCATTAGTTATAGTTTATGACAATCTCCTGTTTTTTTTTTTAGTTTTTTTACCAAATGACACAACACAGTTTGTTGGAGCAGAAGCTTGAATTATTTTATAACTTTTTGTATATTTTTTTTATAAAATATCAAAAATTCCACAAGAGTTAGGAGCTTTGATGTATTATAACTACACTGTACAAATTATTGAGGATAAAGGAAGGATACACAACTAACTCACCTGAAGAGTCCCAGTACACATAAAACTGATATTTTGCCCCTTTCAGGGGCTTCTTCAGAGGTAAAAGTTTCACTCAGTTCTGCTAATCATGAGTGCCAGAACTGTAACTGCCATTCTACCTAAGCCCCTGAAAGGGACGAAATATCTGTTTAATGTGTACTTTTTTGTGTTCTATTGACCTCCTGGGACTCTTTATTCAGGTGAATTAGTTGTGTATCCTTCCTTTCTCCTCAATAATTATTCCAAAGCCAAGTTGCTTTTGTCCCTTAAAATAACTAAACTGTACAATGAATTTTATTTTATTTTAGATAACTACAGTGATAAATTTTACAAACATAATCTTTACTACAGTAGAACTGTAATAATATTATCTTTTATATGTAAGGTTTCTTTTATGTTATTTTTATGCAAATATTTTCATTAAACAATCTTTAGAAAACTTGCAATAAATATAACAAATAAGGTGATTTAAAAATTTAAAATTATGCTTATCATTTCACAAACCTCGACCTGCAATCCATATAACAAGAACCCCTCATATCCAACCTTGACGAGACCAGACCATGGTCGGAACGGCCAAAAGGTGGGATATTGAAGGAGGCAGTCGAATATCGGATATCTACTTGCAGTCTCGGCAATATCGTTCATCGTCTCCCGCGATCAGGGCAAAACCCATAAGCTTTTAAGTTTTAATTGCCGTTTAATTAAAATTAGGGGTGTGCGAGTACTCGAATCTTCGAGCTTTTTGGTCGAGCTTTTCATTATTCGGCTCGGCTCGAGGCATTTTGAAAAAGGCTTGAAGTTCGAGCCGAGCTTTTAATACTAAGTCAAAACTAAAAAAACACTTAATTTAGGTCGTAATTGAAAACAATGTTATCACAATTCTACGTTGTTCATGCATTCGAGGTTTGATAAGCACGAACCTCAGCTCAGTCAAGACGCAATGATTATCGATCGTAATTTTGAGGAGATACGAAAGAGACAAACTATTACTTAGAGATCGATGACTACCACCTATCGCGTTGTCTTTCTAACACAGCTATTCGTATCGTAATATACAACGCAGTGCGAGTGCGTGATTGGCTCGTCGCTATGACGACACATGGTTGCCGTGACAACCTACAGTGCGCACTGCGCCTTGTGTGGGAGGGGAGATTATACCAACAAACTATTTCAGGAATTCTATTTTGGGACCGATGAAAGATAAGGAAGAAACAAAAAGTGGTCACGTGTGCAAATGTAGTGGGCGACACAATAAGGCTGTAAACGAGTATCGTCATGCCGTTGTTCCTTGTTTGTTTACTTTTTCAGATTCCTTATCAAACGCCCCTATCTGCTATCTCTCTTTCTCTCTCTCTCTCTCTCTAACAATGTACTGATTAAACAGATTGTGGTTGACGACTTTTCTACTTATAAGATTCCCTGCGGTTATTTTAGTTCAATCAAACCCATAACCTTTCTAATGTTTATCAAAATAATTATTTAATCTGTTTTGTATTTTATTCCCTTTAAACCAACCCCTATTTACCATCTAGATTTTATAGAATAAAATGTTTGTTTATAAAGTTTGACTGGTCACACAATTTTGTACCTATTTTATTTTGTTTAAAAGTAGGGGTGTGCGGATATCTGAAAAATCGGGTAACCGGGCCCAAATTCGATATCCGACACTATCCGTTATATATCCGGCTTTTTCGGATAGACAATATATTTTGACGTTTTGGACAGAAAACTAAATCTCCATAGCCACCATTAGTTTCCCAGGACAAAATTACAGCAATACGTTTCCAACAACCTAACAGCAAACGGCAAAGAAGCCGAATGATGCAATACTGATAACTAGTTTAGTCGTTATCGGCTGTTTTGCTTTACGATTAGATTCGTCCGGAACGAACAGACATAAAGCAGAAAAGAACTACCATGGTCAAATGAAAGTCAACTCGTGCTTGTCTCGCTCCTGATACTAGGGGCGCTGCGTAATAGTTTTTTTTACAGTACTGTTTCAAAGTAGAAAAATCTAGCCTACTACTGTGATGTTACGTAAACAATAGATTTAATGTTTCCCGAAAAAAAGTCAGAATAGAAACAATAGAAAGGCAACACAATAGAAGGGTGGGAGGGGTTGGGCAATGACCTCGAAAGGAGTGCGGGTGAATGAAGTCAAGTAGGACCGGAGGGGGAAGGGGTGGGTAAGACCTTGAAGCTGAAGCTATATATAGACTTGCACTACTTCCCTAAACCTAAAGGACCGGCCGGCGAGTGGTATTCCAATCACAGGACAAGATACGTTGTGTTTTAGGTATTCATTGCCCGGTTTGACTTTGGATTGTCTTACTCTGTAGAAACTTTGAATAATAAAAAATAAAGTTAGAACTAACCACGATTATTTAGCATTGATTGTGTACATATTAAATGATTAAACTATAGGGACCATGGATATATACAAACTTTTGTCGTGATTTTAATTTCAACATCGAAATACAATATTGCACAATCGTGATATTTTAGGTCATCGACCTTTATTATGCATCCGGTATTGCTGTTTCGGAAGAGAAGCACGTTGATAAATTATAAATTGATATTCCCGTAGTTAAAAAGAATTATTTTATAAACCTATAAAACAAAATCATAAAATCTTACATAAAGATAACAATAACGGAAATTGTAAAAAAGGTATAAAGATAACACGTTATTCTTTCTCTTTGTTCTTCTATTTCTTGGGTTTCCCTTCATCACGCATTCAACAAGTTGCCATGGTTACTAATCACCCATGTCGTTATCAGCTTTGGTGACATAGCGAACAGCAGGGGGGTAAAACTTGACGAAAATCGGTTAATTTTTACCTATTATTTAATTACCAATGAATGTACTACTTTATTGGTATTTGGTACTGTATTAATAATCGGTCAAAATGGCCGATTTTTGTCAAATTTTACACCAAATTTATTGAAATTTCAAGGTGAATATTAATAAAACAATTATTACCAAATATTTGTATTCATTTAAAAGATTGATTTGTGGTATTGGGTTCCCCACTGAGTGCAGCCGAGAGGCACTAATGAGGGTCGGACCTTCTTGGGGGTGAACAATAGACGGCTTATCAGACCCTCCCCTCCCCAGTGGTCTGGAGAAAGCTTGTAAACAAACTATTGCACAAGCGACTTGACATTGGGCTGCTCCAACTATAATTTTGTCAAATGAACTGTGATGTTTCAAAATCAAAAACAATAATTTGGGACCATACTGCTTAACAATAATGGACTGCAATAATTGTTGAACATACATTATACGATTCAAATACAATTATAAAAATTATCTTGGTATTATACTTGGGGTAATGAAGTTATGTAGGCTAGTGTAATTCTCAGTTCATCAAGGTTCTACTGAATTATGTTTGGCAGTGAATAAGTGTAGAATGTAATTTATAAATTCAGGGATACACACCTTTTATTTTACACAGTTATAAAGTCGTTAATTAATAGAAATAGTCAATTCTGGAAAATTAAAAATAGTGATCGCATTCATAAACCTGTTGTCAAAACAGCAACACGGGTGTAAGGGTTTATTGTTTTAGATGCAAGGGTGTTTCAAGGACAAAGTACAGTGTTGGGCCTCCCGGCTTAGGGGGGGAGGGGGGCGGTGAGACTGTGTGAAGGGGAGGAAACTGGTTTTGGCTATTTATTGATTAGTTCCCTGACCCTTCTAGATAACAAAATTGAGTGACAGTATTAAATCATCGTGTACTTTATTTCATTTCTTGTTTACTTTGTGTGTTATTCTATTAATTTTAGTGTTTTGGTCTATTTCCTCTATGTCAATTATATCTTTTTTAATATATAAGTTTACTTTTTACTTGTCTCTCCACCTTTTTGGATCCAAACCAACCATGTTCTTTTTTTGATTAATAAGATTCATAAAACAAAAATATTTTGTGCATGGAAAACAAAAAGAATAATCACGTGTTTTAAAATTTATTTTGTATTTATTTATACAAAATAGAATTAAATATTCATAGTAGTTACAATATACATTATGTAATCGAGTTGCTAGTTGTTTTGTCGTCATTCAATGTCGCGTTGCTGTTCTGTTCAAGAATCAAGAAGAATCAAGAATATTTATTTGCCATTAAATAACAGAACGTTACTGTTATAAAAGACAATCTGATTGTCTCAGTCTGCACTGCATATCTCGTCAGGCCTTCAATCGATATCCTTTTATTTCTTGCATCTTAATTTAGTTCAGCTCAGTTCTTATCGTGATTATCTACTATTTGATGTCTTGACAATTATCAATGTTTTTAAACATATTAAAATAACATTGTGTTTATTTAAAAATTGACAGAACATCTATCTATATATATAATACGCTAAGCCGATTTTTGTAAACAGAACTCCTCCCTCATTTTTGGACCGATTTTGATGATTAAAGTGTCAAATGAATGGCCCTGATATGTAGTTTTGCAAAGTCTTTTTCGTTTTTTGAAATCTTTATTAGTTTGGGCAGGATCTTCCACCAAAGTTGGATTTTCTCCCATAAGATTAACATGGGGGAATCTAAATATTTAATTGGAAACTTTGTCTCCATTAATTTGAGAGAACGACTGGGCGTAGAAACTTGGTAGAGGTGTCCAAAGAAAGGTCCTGGTCCCTAGATGAGTTACCAAAAGAAAAAACTAAGTGAATCCCGTTAGGGCTTTGCCCCAGAAGCCCTTAAAGATCCCTCCACAGATTTGTTTACATTTTGTCCATGTGGATAATACTTTTTATTGAAACAGCTGTTAATTTAAAATTGTATTTTAAACAACACACATTTATTGGGAGTTACTGAATTGTCCAAAAGAAGTATTTGCAATGTTATTTTCTAAATTTAAAATTGATTTTCTTCTGTATCATGTCATATTTTGCAATATAACGTTCCATTACGAAATCAGTAGAAAATCCTTTTATATCAGTAACTGTTATTTAACAATTATTTCTTATTGAACTATCTTATATTTATTGTACGGGTTGGTGTCTGCCTTTTTCATCACTTTTGGCTATATTTTATCATACTATGAGATTATTGCCATACATGTTTTAAATCATTGGAAAAATCTTCGATTGTGTAATACAATGCAAAATAATACAAGTGCAGAAGTGTCTTATTAGCTTCAACATCCCCACAACCAATTTCCCAAAACTATGCTAGAGGGTTATTTATTGGCACAGAAGTACGATATGAACTGAAGCGATGTGACGAAGGAAAAATCAAACTTACACTGTAACGGATGGACCTCCATTTTAAGTTAGAACGTGTCTTTTCAATAAACAGATATTTTTTTTAATAAAATCATAGATTAATCTTTATTAGACGGACGAAATCGCGGAAGTTTTAACTACAAAAGATCCTCCAATATGATTTTAATACTATCTAAAGGTTCTTCTAAAAGAAGAGGTACCAGTTAACATACTAATAATAACTCTGATGACGTACGGTATGGGAAATATTTTATTCATTGAATGATCAACCATATTTTGTAACTAACGCAATTAATATCATTATTGTTTTTACACTTATTACTCTTTAAGCAATGCTAAATGCTCAAAATATGTATAATTTCACTCAATTTGTCGCAGTTAGATAATTTAGCGCAAGCCTTGAAAGTAACCGTCGATTTCGACGGGTTTCACCTAGTTATTATTATTATGCACTTTTTTAAGAAAAAAAGTTTAATAACTTAGATAAGGTGACGCTAGGAAAAGCTCGGCTCGAAAAAGCTCGAGCTCGAAAATTTATTAAAAAGCTCGGCTCGGCTCGGCTCGAGGTTGAAAATCACTATTCGCACACCCCTAATTAAAATCCATATAAAAGTGAAAATTAATTTACTAAATGTCAAACAGTTGTTTATTACCAAGTCACATAAGATTAAAGTGCCATGAGATACTTACGTAGGTTTTTAGGCTTCAATGGAATTCCTTGCAAAGCATTCTCTTTTTCAGCCTTTTGATGAAGATATGTTGCAAACAAAGTCCTAAAATAATTATAGACAATAAAAACATTAAATAAATCCCAACAAATTTCACTTGACAAAAAGTAAACAGAAAACATTAGGCTATATAATAAAAAAAAACGGTCAAAAGAAAGACACCTTTCAGAGGTACAGGTTGTAATAGCTTGTATTATATTTTGAAGTACCTTATCATTAAAAAAAAAAAATTATCATAAAAAAATTATCTATACAGTTTTCAGCTAGAGGTCACTAAAATTGATTAAAAGTTTTTCTTAATGGGCCTATTGATTGATTCAACTAAATGTATCAATGGATATCTTGCAAATATTTTCATTAAACAATCTTAAGAAAACTTGCAATATATAACAAATAAGGTGATTTAAAAATTAGCTGGAGATTTCAGCTTTAGTATTTTATATTAAAATAAAAATCAAAGTTCACAATACGTTTGGTGATGAAATAAAACCAAACCTTTATGTTCTTTCTTAATATTTTTGGATAAATTTCTAATGAGAACGTCTTTATGTACAGCCAACATAAAGAGACAGGCTATAATAAAATAGGGTCTCAATAAATTTAAGTTTAGGAAAAAACTAGTTTACAAATAGTGTTCCACAATCTGATCATATTATTTTAATCAACTTCATTAAAACCTCAACATAATTGTTACAGAGTCCTTGTATTAAGTAGTAACCTTACTTGGAAAAGTATAGGAGTTTCTCGTATATTATCTTTTCCTCTTTGTCCATAACAATCATGACTGTATTGAGCTTTTTCTCAGGCAGACTTTTTAGTTCGCCCACTTCCTGAAGGCCCTTCTTGGTCCTCCGCAGCATGATGGACTTGATGATGGTGTTGAGACGCTGCCCTCCAGCCGCATCTCTATTGTCTACCCATGTTTTCCACACCTAAACACACCGTATGTCACTTCCACTGTATTGGTAGTGGTAACAACTAGGGGTGTGCGATGCAGCATATTTTTTTCGATTCGATGCATCGATGCGATTCAAAGAATTTCGATTCGATTCGATGCAGCACGGCATAATTTTCTTCAAAAATTAAATACAACATGTGTTTCTGTAATGGATCCCTTACCTTAAAAAAGTTAAAGTAAAAAATGTACTAAATAAAATTATGAACAATAGGATAGTTGCTGACCTAACCTCATTAATGGACACTGCTAATTTCATTTTATTTTGTTGCCTAAGGAAATTCACCCTTCACTAACAATTAGAATAAGCCTATATCAATAAAGCAATCGTTAAGTTTATTATTATTGACCTGTATTAAATAAAATAGAGTTTATTTTATGATGTAAAGGTAGTATTGTTACTTAGTTTTCACATTTATATTTGTTGGCTTTCAATACTTTTGGTTCATTCTTAAATCAGCATGAACCAAAAAAGTTGATAATCAGTGTTTACTACTACAATCGGATCTTAGGCTGGATCCGGTTTTAATGGATCCGATTTTATTTATACTAGGGATGGACGAGATTGGATTTTTAGTTCGAGACGAGACGAGACGAGATTTTTTATTTCTCATAAAATTTCGAGACGGGATTTCCCTTCTCATACACAACGGGAAACGCACGTTCAAAATTTTTACCTGATTTTGTAACATTGTTAGATGACTGTTTAAATAAAAAAAATAATGATAATAGGCAAGAATATTTACAATCTTTTATTAAAAAACATCAGAATAACATTTTTTTATTAATCACGCCTAAGTTATTAAAAATGCCTACGATTAGGAAACATAGTGATATCAGTTAGGATAGAGTTAACCTTATCCTAAAATAAAATAAATCACAAAATAAAAGCAATATTAATTTTTATAAAATAGTTGGTACTTGTTTTGACTTTTTATAGTAATAAAACATTCCTCACACTGCTTACACTTAACAAAACTTCTCAAATGTTATTAAAGTAATATTATTAAAATAATTAAAGCAATATTTACATTTAAAGAATTAATTCAATAAGAACGCCTTCGCAAAGGAAACGCAACTACAACACGCTCCTGTATTGCGGGTATTGCATTGACTTTCTGCAGGCGTTTTTAATTTTTTTTTTCTCGTCTTGATAAAAATCTCGGCCGAAAAGAAATCTCATCTCGTGTAACGAGATTTAAAATTTCCCGAAATTTCGAGACTTGACCATCCCTAATTTATACTATTAACACTAAATGGGCGAGGATTCGAGATTTTGAGTTTGAGTAGAGTACGGCCTTGAAACTCGAGCTTATCTTTGAACTCGCTAGTTTGGTATAAAATTGTAAGATCAATATTTGTTGAAATGTAACTTGTGTTTACATAAAATTATGGATAATTTGTATTACTGTAGATTCTACAGTCATACAAATATAGAAATAAGCAAGAGGTAGTTGTCCTAACCTATTTTTATAGCTGTCACGACAGAATAGGTCAACTCAAAGCAGTCGCCGGCGACTGACTGGCAATGGTATACTGACTTGACACAGAATAGAATGACATGATCGGTAGTGATTTTGTTTTAAAGTAGGCCTAGTGTTTCACAATAGAAAATTTCACTACTGAACTGTTACGTAAGCAATAAATTTATGTTTATAAAAGTCAGAATAGAAACACTATAAAGGCAAAAACAATAGAAGGGAGGCAGGCGTTGTGCAATGACCTCGAAATGAGCGGAATAGTAACATTGAGTAGGGGGTTGGAAGGGGGGGAAGGGAATGGTGAGACCTTTGAGCTATATTTAGACTAGACTTTCACCACTTCCCAAATGGCTGGGTATGGGGATTACAATAGCAGGTTTTTTCCTTGCCTGGTTTGACTTTTGTCTTTTTGTGTAGGAGATTTGAATAATCAAAAATATAATTGAATTGACCACAATTATTTAGCATTGATAATACAATTTGCAAGGGACCAGGAGGAAATAGATACAAAACACTTAAATTAATAGAATAACACACAAAGTAAACAAGAAATTAAATACAGAACATGGTGATTTAACACTGTCACTGTCACTCAATTTTGTTGTCTAGAAGGGACGGTGAACTAATCAATAAATAGCCAAAACCAGTTTCCTCCCCCTCTTCTCTCTCAGTCTCACCACCACCCCTCCCCCCCTGAGCCGGGAGGCCCAACACTTTGTCCATGAAACACCCTAGCCTCTGAAACAATAAACCCTTACACCTGCGTTGCTGTTTTGACAACAGGGTTATGAATGCGTTCACTATTTTTCATTTTCCAGAATTAACTATCAATTATTATTATTTGCAAGTTACAAATAGGAAACTACATGACATTATGGTATTCAATTACCCATGTATTATCAAAAATGTATAATTCATTACTTATTTTGATAATAAAAAGCATTCATTACAGCACGCAGCACTTATTGATATATATATATAGTCATCAAAGTATCTGTTACTTTATACAAAATAAAATAGGTACAAAATTGTGTGGCCAGTCAAACTTTATAAACAAACATTTTATTCTATAAAATACAGATGGTAAATAGGGGTTGGTTTAAAGGAAATAAAATACAAAACAGATTAATTAATTATTTTGATAAACGATAGAAAGGTTATGGGATTGATTTAACTAAAATAACCACAGGGAATCTTAATTAGAAAAGTCGTCAACCACAATCTGTTTAATCAGTACATCGCTAGAGAGAGAGAGGGGGAGAGAGAGATAGCAGATAACGGCGTTTGATAGGGAATATGAAAAAGTAAACAAACAAGGAACAACGACGCGACAATACTCGTTTATAGCCTTATTGTCTCGACCACTACATTTGCACACGTGACCATTTTTGTTTCTTCCTTATCTTTCATCCGTCCCAAAATGGAATTCCTGAAATAGTTTGTTGGTATAATCTTCCCTCACACACAAGGCGCAGAGCTCAGTGCGCACTGTAGGTTGCCACGGCAACCGTGTGTCGTCATAGCGACTTAGCCAATCACGCATGCGCACTGCGTTGTAGATTACGATACGAATAACCCTCTGACTTCGATGTTGTAATTGAATCGAATTTTTCTAATGATGCGTAATGCAGGGATGAAACTGAACATTTAGACAAGTTTAGGTTATTTATTTTGTTCTAAAAATAAAAATAATACATTTAAAGGTCTGACTTATTGATACAGACATTTTTTAGTATAATTTTGTGTTGAGGACACTCGCACGCCGGTTGTCTGAGACTGAAATCTGACTGTCTGACATCTTGAAAATGTAGATTGTATTGTGTTGTGCAATATCATCTGCCTGCAGAGAGAACAGCTGAAAATAACCTTTAGCTGTTTTGAACTAAATAGTGTACTAAGTTGGTTACTAAAGTTGTTAGCGTGATTACTAAACCAATAGATATCAAATAAATAAATGTTAAATAAAATATCTATCCATCCCTGTCGGCTGTCGGTATCGGCGGAATCGGGCGAAATCGATGTTTGGCAATCGATTCTTGATACCGATATTCCTAGTATCGGCAATGTCCGAGTATCGGTGGTAGCGATAATTGACACTTCCCTATCTAAAACTCATCCTAAATTAGTTTTAAATATGCATCGGGACGTAATCGTTGCATCGGGAGTTAACCGCTGCATCGGTCTTTTTCGATGCATCGAGGCATGCTGAATCGAATCGCGATTCGATGCATCGAATCGAATCGAAATTTCGATGCATTTTCGATGCATCGCATACCCCTAGTAACAACCAATCCTCATCAGACAGTTTCAATGTATATCTTAAACAACCTTATCGTCATCCTAAATGTTTCTATTTTATCACATATATTTTTCTTAGCTTCTTTAAAAATTAAAATAATTTAACCAAATAACACAATTTAAAAACAAGTTTTGTATTATATCCAAAAAGAATCCACACACACCAAACAAAATTTACCAACAAATTTGAGAAACCCCATTTACTCAACACACTCTAAAACTTAACAGCAATACAAATTATAAAATTATACTTGCAGCCCCAAAGTCCAGGAATCTATTAGGCCTAATTTGTTTGGTCTTAACCCTGAATGCTATGTGATTTATAAGAATATTTAGAGAATACAGTGGACTCTCGCTTGTCAGGCCCTATTTCATAACTAGGTAGGCCTAGTACCAAATTAATGACAGTACCAAACTAACAGATGATCAATGAGGGAGTGGGAAATACTGCGGCCGCAGAAACAGAAAACCTGCAAACCAAGCCAATTTGGCAATTTCCTTCTCTGATTGGAGTTCATCCAGTCCTATACCTTCATGCCAGATTTAATCAAAATTGGACCTAAATTGCTCAAGTTTTCTTTTCTGTGGCGTATACACTGTATCCCAAAAAGAATGGATCACATCTTCAGCTTCAAACAGCTCAAAGATCAAATTAATTATATATTGTTAGTTGTTACCAAGGGTAATAGAAAGGTTTACTATGGCTCATTTTAAATTAAGTTTTGTTTAGTGTCATTAAACAGTAATCAGCTGTTCCATTGTTGCTTGCACATTTGAATTTTTAAAAACATACAGTTACCCTAAAATGGAGTTTTAGTTGAAAGCACAGTGTATTTAGACGAAATTTATTGAGCACAGTTTATCAAGACCAAATCTGTGGAGTGATTTTTTTTGGTCTGGGGTTTTGTGAAAGATAAAGTGTATCGCTGTTTGATCTCAAATATAGATGAACTTACAGCAATGTTAAGGGAAGCCTTTGTAAAACTGTACAGTATGATGAAATACACCATAATGTATGGTCAGAGCTGGAACACAGACTTTACATTCCAGACTTGAGAACATGTAGATGTTGGGCGGTGAAACCATGGTAGGAAAAACTAAATAAAAAAAATTAAGGAAAAAATTTGTATAATGTTAATTTTTTTCATCAATAATAAAGTTTGTAGATATTAGCCTAGACACCTATTTATTATGAGTATTTTTACCTTTTTGGTAAAAGGGCCTAATGGGTCTTTTTTTTAGGCCTACAACCTTGTGCGGTATCGCGTGTCTTCTCCCGCTCGCTTGATGTACAGTACGTGTGTGACCATGGTTGTAAAACTGTATATACATATGTGTTTCGTGAACTGTGTTATATGTTTTGTAAATTGTGACAACCACTTCTGTGGACAATGTTGAGACCTGACAATGACAGCGACTGAAGATGCATTGTAATTAATGCGAAACGCGTCTTGCAGGAGATAAGAATTTTGGACACCTTAGGCTACCAAAAAGGTAAAAATACTCAAAATAATAAAGTGTTTATTCCAGTTTACTTTTAATCCATTCTTTTTGTGACACTCTATATATTTTTTTAAATATTTATAAATGTCAAAAAGAAATTTTGCTTTTGCCCTACAGGCAAATCAAGAATAAACCCCCAAACAATAAAGGTTTTGAGTGCTGGTGGTTGAGCAGGGGTATATTTTTAATGATGTAGTTTTCTAGCTTCAATCTATAGTCCAGGACCTGACTAGGGTTCTGTGTGCATGTCGTGTATAGAGAATTTTGCTTTTGCATTTCAATATAGGTGTCTTAGGAAGTGTTTTCCACTCGGGTGTCAAGTTCGCACCTGGTACGTTTTCGAGCTATGACGTCATCAAAATGGCGGCCATTGATTTTTTTAAATCGTATATTTCGCAAACTATTTGTCGGATCGGAATGAACTTTTTTTTGTTTGAAAGATAATTTTAAATGCTACCTGTTTTACATTTACATATTTGTTGTATGTTTAGTACATTCTTCGTAATTTTGCAAAAACCTGTATTTTTAAATATTTTTGAGTTATTTTTGTTTGTAACGTTTTATTGATACAATTTATTAGGGATGGACGAGATTGGATTGTTTGAGTTAATACAATGTTAATTTAATAGATTAATTGAAAATCAATCCAGGCAAGTGGAAATTCGCTTAGTCAACAGGATTGCTGCACCGGGGGTATTTATATAGTGGAAACATTCCTATGGACTAATTACATTGATTTGTTGTGCTTTTATTTGCATAAAAGAGGGTAATGGTCTTATTTTAAGTAAAATAGCTGGTGAAATCGTAACATGTAGCAATTTTAAAGACATCATAACCGGAAACTTCAGTGGGTCCAGACGTGACACCTGAGTTAAAAACACTTCTTTAGACACATACATTAACATTGAATGGTAAAACTGTCTATATATGACTCGTACACAGCCATCGATGTCGGATTTATATGCGTTTTTGCGCAAAATTAGGTTGTTTTGTACGATTTTCTAGTTTCTTGACGTGATCTTTTGAGTAAAGCATATCGAATTTGGTACTTTTGTAAAGCTCTTTTAACGTGCTACAACTTTGTCCTTGAGTTATTTCTGATATATTGTATCAATAAAACGTTATCGAAAAAAATTACACAAAAATGTTTAAAAATATAGGTTTTTGCAAAATTACGAAATATGTACTAAACATAAAACAAATGTGTAAATGTAAGAAATATAGCATGTAAACTTATCTTTCAAACAAAAAAAGTTCATTCCGATCCGATACATGGTATTTAAAATATCGTTATTTTTAATATAGCCCTTTCCGCCATTTTAATGATGTCATAACCGGAAACTGCAATGGGTGCAGACGTGACACCCGAGTTGAAAACACTTATTTAGACACATACATCAACATTGAATGGCGAAACTGTCTTTATAAGACTTGCGAACTGCCCTAGATGCCGGACTAATAGGCGTTTTTGCGCCAAAATAGGTGTTTTTATGAGATTTATCTAGTTTCTTGGCGTAATCTTTTGAGTAAAACATATCGAATTTGGTATTTTTGTAAAGCTTTTTAAATGTTCTACAACTTTTTTCATTGGTGGTTTTTGATAAATTGTATCAATAAAACGTTACAAACAAAAATAACTCAAAAATATTTAAAAATACAGGTTTTTGCAAAATTACGAAGAATGTACTAAACATACAACAAATGTGTAAATGTAAAACAGGTAGCATTTAAAATTATCTTTCAAACAAAAAAAAAATTCATTCCGATCCGACAAATAGTTTGCGAAATATACGATTTAAAAAAATCAATGGCCGCCATTTTGATGACGTCATATCTCGAAAACGTACCAGGTGCGAACTTGACACCCGAGTGGAAAACACTTCCTAAGACACCTATATTGAAATGCAAAAGCAAAATTCTCTATACACGACATGCACACAGAACCCTAGTCAGGTCCTGGACTACTAGTTTTATTTTAGTTTTTAGCCGCTGTGTTTATTACCCATTAGATGAACATGCTAATAAAAAGAAACATTAAGCACATACTCCTAAATCATCGAATGGAGAGCAGCGTAGGAACTTCAGCAAGGCATACAAATCAAGTTCCTTGTTCTGCACAGGAGTGCCGGTAAGTACCCATCGAGCTCGTGCTTTTAGCCTGAATACTGCCTGAGCAGTCTTGGTCTTGTGATTCCTAATCTGATGGGCCTCGTCCAAAATTATACGATCCCATTTAATTTGGAACAGCGGGCTCTGAAACATATGCAAACAACAAATAAAAATCGTGACACCCACCTAATTACCACTTACCTGGTTTACAGTTGCTGTCCCTTGCAAAACTATTTGTACTAACAATGCACTGTGACTTTTAAGATATGCTTTTGTATTAGAGAGATACACTGCAATGCCATCCTGGACATTTGACAGATTACAAATACATTTTTAGTACTAGGTAACATTGACATCTCTATTACATGGATACTGTGACCATGGAGAAGTTTCTCTCTAATTCCTCTTTTACTTCTTTATCTATGTTGTAGGTGTCAAAAAATTATCCTAACTTGGATAATTCATAGAAATTGGACTTTTCTATACAGTTTTACATTTTATATCTAGGAGGGGGTTAAAAAGACACTAAAAATCTGTTTTGAATTTAACTAAAATTTTAATTTCAAAGCACAAACACCTGATACAAATGTCCAATTAACTACTTTCTGAATGATTTTCTTATTTTTGAAAGTCTAATACATTGTAAGTTGTATACCTAGGCTTGATTTAGGTATGTCATAAAGATTGTATGTATAAAATAAAATGGGTAAAGGTGAAGCAATTACTTCCTGCTTATTTTACTACATACTATTAAGGTAAAAATTGATTACTTACTTCTACTTGATCAGCATCCCGGCTAATTATGTTGTATGTAGTTATCACAAAATCTGTTTTGGCTAGACTGAAAAATAAAGTTGTTATGTATTAAACCCATGAAAATAAGAATTTATCACAATAGAATAGTTTAAGTAAAAATCTTTCATTAGTACAAACAAGAAGTAAACAATAACAATAAAAACATGATAATATAAAACTAGAATGATAATAGTTGGTCGAGCCAACCATTACAAGTTAGCACTGTACAAGATTACCTCCTGGCTCTCTTCTCCCTGTTCTGGCCATGATGGACCACCGTGTCCAGGACTCCACGCTTAACTCTGCGTTGAACCTCCCCCTCCCACTGGCCTAGGAGAGAGGCAGGACACACTACCAGGGTCTTGCCACGTATTGCTGCCAACATTACACCAGTAAAAAAATAAATATTTCTGTTTAAAGAATAATTTGTTTATTTTGGAAATTTATTTATTTACTTTAAGTCAAGGTTAAGTAAAACAATTGAATTAGGTTTGTTCATAGTAGGTTTAACTAATTTTTTTCCGTGTGGTACTTATAACTAGGGTGTAGTTTGTCAAATAACACCTTATTGGTACAAATAAATGGTACAAAAGTTGAATAGATACAATACTGATGGATTGATTAATCATATAATTAGTACTGCAAATTGTTGAACTGACATACAATCAATTGTGTCATCAATGATGTCTCACTAAGGTTCTTTAGCATTAAAAATATATTTTTATGGATTTCTTTTAGTGATGGGTTGATTCCAGAAATGTTCAGTTCCGATTTTGATTCTTTGAAGAATCGATCCATCAATTCCTTATTATGTTGACAAAATTTTCCAAGGTCGTGTAATCAGCGTCATTGTTTCCCTTGATCACGGAAAAACCCTGAATAACCCCTCCGGTAACAAAACATTAAAATCGTCTTACTATACACTATCGCGGCAAGATTTTGTTCATTTCCCGCGGTTGTGTAGACATCGTCATTGCCTCCCGCGGTCATGGCAAAAGTCCGAATAACCCCCATAGTAACGGATAATCAACATTGTTGTCTTCCGCAATTGCAGCTGAATTCTGACCGTCTCCCGCAGCCATGTGGACATCATCATCGTCTCCCACTGTCACAGAAACGTCATCGCGGTAATTTTCAGATCGCGTGGATCTTCCGCAATCTTCCATATTGCTGGGACTCAAGAATTGCCTGTGCATAATTATACAAGGGTAAAACATAATTTTTTTGAACTTTTCATTTATTTTATTGAACTTTCATATATACACCATTTTATATTGGAAACTATTTTTTAGAAAACTTCCTAACTTTTAAAAAACGAAAAAGACGAATCTAAATATATTAAAAAACTTAAGGCATTCTTACTTGAACTTGCACCTTACAGTATAGAAGATTTTAGTAATTTCAATTTTGAATAGTAGGCTATTGTTTTGTAATGTAGTAACTGTTTCTTATTGCTAATGTAGGTAGTAAGTAAGAATGGACCTGACCTGACACTATTCATGTACATCAATTGTGTACTGTAGGATGAATAAAGACTTTTTGAATCTTCGCATACGAGTCGGGTATCGGAATCGGAATCGTCTTTGAGCGGTCGATTTTCGCTTTCGATTCCAAAGCTGAGAATCGGTGGAATCGAGAATCGAGTTTTGCAATCGACCCATCCCTAATTACATTATCTTTAAAAGATTGTACAACAATGATCAAGTTCACCTGATTTTGTGCATGATTTATAGGCTATTTCATAGTAGGAATGGATAGGATTGTATTTTTAATTTGTGACAAGGACGGGATTTTTCTCCCCAGGCAAAAAAGGTTTTGTTTAAAAATCTTCAGTAAACATTCATGCAGATGGCAATACTGTACTAAGTCCTTATACATTTAGTAATTCTTTAACTTTATGAACAAATAAACTTAAGGCTTGATCTTAACAAGTATAGTTATGAATGAGTTTAATGAAGCCTGCCTCTGATTGGGCACGGAAAGGTAGGTGTTTTTATAACGGAAAGGTAGGTGTTTTTATAATAGTATGAATTTGTAAAATATTAATTATTCTAGCCTGTTATGTTTGTTTAATGTATGTTTGCCTAACCCATCTAGTGTATTACAACACCCAACAGATACTTACACTTAGCTCGATGTGTAGACAACCAGTTGGAGCTTGAACTTTCCTCATTTTCTGATTCATCAGATTTGCCCTCTTCATGTTTGACTTCATTTGATTTTAATATAAGTGATATCATTGTAAGAGTTTTGCCTAAACCCATGTCGTCAGCTAAAACAAAAATCACAAGAAATGTCAAAGCGAGAAAAATGATATAACACATAAGCTCAGTTATAATGTATATTTGATGTAATTATAAAATGTAGAAAATAAGAAATTCCATATTAGGTATCGGTCAAGATTTTGAACCTAATTAAGTTATTGTGATGATAACGTTTGTGGAGTTTACTATGAAATTCATAAAGTTCACATTCTAATTACTTTTCATTAACTGAGGTCGTTGGGACAAAATTAATTGTTTGTTAAATAAATAGTTTAAAATAAGAAATTAAATTAAATTAAATAAAGGAAAGGAAATATAAAGACATAGAATGAAGGGAAGGAATAGAAAGGATATTTATACGGAATAATTTACAAAAGTAGGTTTCTTGTTCTTGTAATTGACTTTTGCCAAATAGAATGGAACCGTTTCAGTTGGTGGGTATAGTGGTTAGTCATAGCGTACACTTGCACACTTATCTAATCCATCACTTCCAACCAAAAGGATTTAACCTAAAACTCACTGGCAAATCTAAAACCAAAATAATGCATGTGTCTATTGAGTACTTACCAAGAATACCCCCTGATGGTTTTTCACTCTCTCTCCACATTAGCCAAGACAATGCGTACTGCTGATGAGGCATCAGTTCAACTTTCAGGCCTTGTGGATCTGAGGTAAGCATATCTTCTGAAGGACAGTTCTTCAATGAATTGTGAAGTGCTCTGAGTGCATCTACTGTCAGAGCTTGCTGGGTTCTATGAGTCTCCAATGCTAAATTACAACATTTATACTATATAAAGTTATATCTTAATGAAACTTGGTGAGCAGAAAGCTTGGAATGTTTTGTATGTTGTCATATTTTTTTATTCAAAATTATAAAACTTTTTATTATAAATTATATTATAAACTGATGTCCACTTGCCCCTGAAATTGGGGTAAGTGCACGCACCCCTCCCCCCCCCCTCAATATATTCATTTAAACTCACATTAACTCACATCTGGGGCAAGTGGAGTAGGCCTACAGCTAAGAATTTGCCGATTAAAATGGTTTTTTATTTATTAAAAATATAAATTAATTAAATGCCGTAAAAACTTATTTAACATCACACAAGTAATGGTAGGCTAGTTATAATAAAATAAAATAAAAACACTTTTTTAAATATGCGTATTCAAATCTTACCTGGAGGTAAACTGTTCAATATTACTTAAGTAATATTTATAATTAAACAAGATTAACTTGGATAATATTAATACACCATGCTTAAGCATTGAAGTACATTTATTACATCATCATAAGTTAGTTCTTCTTACATTGAGTTACAAAAATAGTACACCCGACACCACAGCCTAATGTATCATAGAGTCCTTTAATAACATAGGTAGGCTACTATATATAAAGTTATTATAGGCTATACTATTATGTAACATCCTCCTTTTTTAATCAAAATGATTTAAATCCATAAAGACAAATGTTGATTAAACAAATGAACAGACAGACTTAAACATATTCCTTCAAATGGTTAGGCTTTCTGATGGTTCGACCGAATCTAGTGGTTTGGTTTGTTACTGGCCTATTAGGTAAAACATTAGGTACTGGTACGTTAACATTATCCTCAAACTCATTCTGATTAGGCCTTTCAATATTTTCTAACCCAAAATTAGTTTGTGCGATTAGATCAGAATAATCAGACTGAATAACCTTAGAATAACACTTTCTTAACATAATTCTATTTCTACGATACACTTGACCATATCTATCCTGAACAACATAACTTCTGGGGGGGAAGTTTAACTTTTCAATGACTTTACCACTTATCCACTCTTTACCTTTTTGAATCAAAACATTATCACCTTTATCAAAATGACATAGTGACTTTGATGTCCTATCGTAATACAACTTAGATTTTTCATCTAACCTATCTCTGTTGACATGAACTATTTTTGGATTTAATGCCTTTGTATTTATAGGCATTTTTGACTTCAATACTCTATTTAAAAATAACTGTGCTGGACTAACATTAACATTGTTAAGGGGAGTGTTTCTATAATCCAATAGCAACAATTCGATATCTTTACCACTGTCCTTTGCCCTTCTCAACAGATTTTTGCATATCGCCACTGCTTTCTCAGATCTACCATTACTTCTTGGATAAAAAGGACTACTGGTCACACTTTCAAAATTATATTCATTTGCAAACGATTTAAACATGTGAGAACTAAAAGGAACATTATCTGAAACAAAACGATCTGGTACGCCAAACTGCGAAAAAATATGTTTTAGAACTCTTATGACACTGTTAGCTGATTTGTCAAATAGCTCTCTTAATTCTACCCAGTTAGAATAAGCATCATTTACAACCAAATAATTTTTTCCACCATACTCTAGTATGTCACTATATACAAACTGCCAAGGCCTAGTAGCCTTTTCATGATTTAACAATGGTTCTTTGCCATTTGCAAACCTATATTTTTCACATATTTGACAACTTAAAACTAGGTTTTCAATGTCCCTGTTTATGTTAGGCCAAAACAAAATTTGTCTTGCTCTAGCTTTGCATTTAACTACACCAAGATGTGATTCATGAATTAGGTTTAGCATACTTTGTCGCAATACAGAAGGAACAATGATCTTGTTACCAAAAAATAGCAAACCATTTTCATGGGAAATTTCATCCTTAATCTTATGATAGGGTTTCAATGCATTATCCAATACTTTATAACCAGGCCACCCTTCATTAACGTATTTGATAACCTTGTTCAAAACTTCATCATTTTCAGTAGCAATTTTAAACTGTAGCTTTTTACTCTCAGACATACTTAACTGATTACTTAGACTATGTACCATTACAGATTTTTCAAGTTCACTGTTTAAATAACTATCATTCTTATCATTCATGTTCTTATCAACTTTCCTTGACAATAAGTCTGCTAGTACATTAGATTTACCAGGTAAGTATTTTACTTCAATGTTATACTTGAGTAGTTCTAGTTTAAACTTCTGTAACCTATTGGAAACTTTATGCATGTTCTTGGAAACAATCGAAACTAGAGGCTTATGGTCAGTATACACAGTAACCTTTTGACCATAAATGAATTTATGATACTTAGACAACGCAAAACACATAGCTGCCATTTCTTTATCTATTATTGGATACCTTAACTCTGTATCGGTTAGTGCTTTAGACGCAAACGCTATCGGACAGCCTTGCTGTAAAAGACATGCTCCATACCCATAATTGGATGAATCAACAAAAATTTCACAATCTATTTTAGGATCAAATATTTTAAGCGATGTCGCTTCAGCAATCTTAGACTTAAGTGTCTCAAATGCTTTTGTATGATCTTTTGTCCAAACAAAATCAACATTTTTCTTTAAAAGTTGTCTTAAAGGTTCAGTTAACTGACTCATGTTATGAACAAACTTAGATAAATAGTTAGTTACACCTAAAACACTTTGTAGCTCTTTTTTACTTTTAGGCTCTTCTAATGCAATAATGCTTTTTACACGTTCTGGTTCTGGAGTTACACCTTCTTTTGAAAATATCATGCCTAGATACTTAACACTACTTACTTTAAACTGTAACTTTTTAGCATTGAACTTAACATTGTTTTTTAACGCTCTTTCCATTACATGATTTAAGACTGTGTTATGTTCTGTTTCTGTTTCCGTAGCAATTATAAAATCATCAAAATAGATTCCTACATTAGGAATGTCACCAAACATTTGAACATTATATCTTTGAAAAATTTCTGGACTTACTCGTAACCCGAATGGTAGTTTATTGTACTTAAACTTTCCAAAAGGAGTTATGAATGTAGTTAGCAAGCTACTTTCATTATCTAATTCTATTTGATGAAAACCATCTTTCATGTCTAGTACTGTAAAATAAGACTTTCCTCGCAACAATAGTTCTAACTCATCTGACGATGGAATTGGATATGGATCTAACTTTACACATTCATTAAGCTGAATTGGATCCAAACATATTCGTAAGGACTTGTCTGGTTTTTCTACTATTACAATATTATTTACCCAATCAGTTGGATAATCAACTGGTTCAATTACATTATATTCTGTTAGCCTATCAAGGGCCTCTTTAAGCTTAGGCTTGACTGATTCAGGAATTCTTCGGACTGAATTTACAACAGGTTTAGCACCATCTTTGAGCTCGAGATGTAATTTCTTAGGAAATTTACCTATACCAGTAAAAACTTCTTTATGCTTGTCTACAAACTTCATTTTAGACGCTAAACTCTCTGAATCTAACTCTAAATTATTAATTCTTTGAAGTAAATTTAACTTTATGCAAGCATTTAACCCTAGTATTGGAACACTTTTAGTTTTGACCACTACATATTTAATTTTGTATTTGACTCCATTGACCTCCGAATCAAGAATTACATTTCCTAAACATTTTAACTCCTGATTATCATAGCTTAGGATTTTGCTATAATTAGGCTCTAAACTGACCTTGGATAGCTGCAACTGATCCATTACATGTTCAGGTAACACATTGCACTCAGCACCACTATCTAGTTTAAAACTAACACTTTGATTATTAATTTTAACTTGTTGCATCCACGATGACACTTTCACTTTATTGTTCTCCATGCTGTTGATCTTCTCGACGACCTCTCTGGACACATCTTTGAACTGGACTCCTCCTTGGGCTGTATGCTGCGGACTGGACTGTGAACTTGTGTCTTCTTGGAATAGGGCACTTATAAAAATATCTTCCATGTCCTCTAACCCTAGCTTAGCTTCATGAACAGTTTTATTATGATTTGGCTTACTTTTATTGGCACTTCTTTGACAACCAATGGCATAATGATTCTTAAGTCCACATTTTTTACACGTTCTTCCGTACGCTGGACAGTTAGCCTTTGAATGTTCAGTTCCACACTTATAACACTTGTATGTTTGAGCTGTCTTTTTATCTTCACGTACTGTAGAAGACTGGTAGCTTTGTTTTTGATTAGGCCTAGTATTACTAGCTTTATTCTGAGAACTAAAACTTCTTCCATTATTGTACGACTTAGGTCTTGTATTATTAATGGCATGTAAGCCTATGCTATTATATGAACTTAGGCCTACCTTACCTTGCATTATTTGCGCTTGCTGTCTACTTAGTTCAGCGGCTCGACACTGATTTAAAGCTTTAGTCAAGGTTAGGTCACTTTCTCGAAGAAGTAAAGGGTGTCCCAGTAAGAACGCCGGATTTGAGGAGCGTCTGATCCTTATCTGTATTTCGATAGAAATTCCCAAATTATCAGCAATGTTATCAGTATTAGGTCCCATTTGTAGTCATGAATCGCTACACGACGGAACAACGCGTGGTCATAGATAAAGTGCACTACAAGTACGGAAGCTGCGCGCTATTTACGGCCGGGACAGTGCACCAAATGATCCATCTGTCCGAAGATTGATTTCTAAGTTCGAATAAATTGGCTCGGTTCCATTCTGGGGATATTTAAAGTCGCTTGTTTTCGCCAATAATCCTCAACCAATCCAAGACTTGAAGGAGGAAATGATTCGTGCCATTAATGGAATTCAACAGGAAGTGTGTGAAAAAGTGATGGAAAACTTTGTCAAGAGATGTCGGGCCTGTCAGTATTCAGCAGGTTGGCACTTACAAGACATAATACTCAATTACTAATCGGAGATACTATGCTTTAAGATTCATGTTTCATATTGTAAATTTAGCATGAAAATATATGGTTTGTTAACATTTCAAATCCGGCGTTCTTATTGGGACACCCTTTACTTCTTGAAGCTGTTTATCCACTATACCAATCACTACACGATCACGAATTAGACTCTCCTCGTCTTCTTTAAACTCACACGGCTTTGCTAGACTCTTCAGAGCAGTTACAAAATGTTCAATTGATTCATTTTCTTGCTGAATTCTTGTAAAAAATTTATACCTGTTATATACAACATTCTTCTTGGGCATGAAATAATTATCAAACTGTTCATTTACCTTCTGCAGTGTATCAGCTTCTTCGGGTTTAAATGTGTTGTAGATTTCTATCCCTTCATCACCTATGCAATTTAGCAGCATAGCTATTTTCACCTTGTCTTCTTTGCTTTCATTCCCTGAGGCGAGCAGAAAGTTTTTGAACTTTTGTTTAAATAATGTCCAATTGTTAGCAACATTATCGTCAATTACTAACCCACGCGGCGGCTTGAAATCCATGTTAGGTTAGTTTCCAATTCATTTACTTCTATTTCTATAACAAAAGTCTTTCACATCGATGTTATGTAGATAAAAAAATAACACCTACGCCACACCTACACCATGTTCAATATTACTTAAGTAATATTTATAATTAAACAAGATTAACTTGGATAATATTAATACACCATGCTTAAGCATTGAAGTACATTTATTACATCATCATAAGTTAGTTCTTCTTACATTGAGTTACAAAAATAGTACACCCGACACCACAGCCTTATGTATCATAGAGTCCTTTAATAACATAGGTAGGCTACTATATATAAAGTTATTATAGGCTATACTATTATGTAACATAAACTCTGCACTCTAAATGACTTTTTCCCTAATTCCACCAAATAATTATTAAATAGTTCATATCTTCATTATTTAAGTGTTGCCTTCCGGATTATTTAACAATATTATTCTAGAGGTTAAATACCTTATTGTTGCCACTGTAATCCTCTGTCGTCTGGATGGCGACAGAGGATTGCAGTGGCAACAATAAGGTATTTATTTAACCTCTAGAATAAGTTCGTATCTGGCTAACATAACTATTTCACTAATTCTATAAACATTTAGGTACTGTTCACTTGCTTTGAAAATAGATGGTAAACTATTTACATATTTACAGCTCGTTTCTCTGTTTTTTATTGAACAATAACAGAAAAGAAAGAAGCGTCAACTCCCCCTTCTGCCTAGTGTAGGTTAGGTATAAGGTCCAAAGGTTTAAAATCAAGTAGAGATATTAACTTAGGAAATGGAGTAAAACTTGTCTAAACCTGATAAGCTAATTTACATTGCATGTACATAGCTGGCTGGTTCTCCATACCATTTGTCCCATTTTAGGGCCATATACACTTACCCCGTAGCTGAAAGTACACTTACCCCAAACACTGTTTGGCCCGGGGAAAGTGTATGCCCCCTTTTTTTACAATACATTTTAGAAATAAATAATCCACATTTTTGGATTTCTACAAAATGCATGAGTGTATCAATTTTCTAATTTCTTTTTCCATCGGTTGATTTCAGACGATTTTTCAACATTTGAAAGCAGTACTTTCAAAGTAAGTAAAAATGCAAAAGTTTAAAACTTAATTTTCATGTATAAATGTTTTTGTGTTATAAATGCTGGTTTCTAACTTCAGATTCGCTAGATGGCCACTAATCTCTTAGTGCTTGATCGTCTGAACACTATACTGTAGTATCTACTGAATTTGAGAATAGCGCAAACTAAAAAAAAAATACTCAAAAAATATTAGGAAAATGTAGTCAACATCAGCACATTCTAATGTAGTCTAATGAAACATAAAACAGGCTACACATTTTACAATAGTATGGAACACATTCCAAATTATTGGGCACTTTAATAATTATTCATAATTATTGGCTACTTATTCCAAAGTTCATATATTAATTACGTTTAACCAACCTTTTTTCCCCATTTCATTGATGTTTGTGGTACTTGTAGGCAACTTGAATATCTTCGGCTGAGGGTATGGTTGTTGGATGGGTTTAGGAACAGCTCCTTTATTTGGCATTACTGAAAATAACAGTAATTTGTATATAAACAGGTGGCCTCCAGAATTATATACTATGTGTGATACATCCATAGACAAACCAACACAAGTATACTTCTCATCCCATTGTAAATTTTGAAGCATGTTTTTCGTGTCTATTTTTTTTTTTAAGTATGGTAGTTCACTATCAACACCAACAACATTTTGCTATTCGTAATTAAGATTACTTCTAAGAATGGTAAAAACGCACCTTGTTAGACAATCCTTAACATGTACGGTAGGGTCAAATTTGACTTGCTAAATATGTTTTGGCGGTTCTTTAACCCCACGATCGTTCTGCTTTAAAAAATATCCACTTCTGGAGGTGTCGCCAGAGTACGTTACAAACATTTAACGCAAAACGATTATAGATAGGCCCATCAATTCACGCGTGCAAATTGCTGTCGGCAAGACTGGAAGTAAATTGAATCAGGTTAAGGTTATGATGGACCGACATGGTCTCTGGATTGTCGTCTGCGTTTTCAACAGCTGATATTGGACTATTGTATTGACTGAGAAGAGTGTTGAAAATATATTTGGATTCGTAATTAATCGAGTGTTTTCATTCAAAATTTGTGTGCTGTCCCTAGTATTATGTATTTAAATATTTCAAACTCTTCCAAAGTATTTAATAAATTTCCTTTCCTGCAGTAATGTAGAATTTCGAGACCATCATTTATATCCAGCATATAAATTGGTTATTATTGTCAATAATCTTGAATGGAAAACCTAATTATGAATATTTTCAACACTCTCCTCCATCACTACACTACAATTAGTCCAATATAAGCTGTAGATAACACAGACGACAATCCAGAGACTACGTCAGTCCGCCATAACCTAATTCAGTTTACTTCCAGTTCTGCCCGCGGCAATGTACAAGCGTGAATTGATAGGTGAGTGAAAATTTAAAAACATACGTTTTCATGTCCCTGGCCTTTTACTTCGTAGATACTGGATTTGTAGTTTATTATTATGTGTTTTAATATTTTTTGGGACGGGGGCAACATGTTACACACATTTATTTGGTTTTAAATAGGTTCTAGGTATTTTTTTCGTATTTTTTAAGTCTCTAAATTCACGACCATGACGTGTCCCTAGGGTACATTTTCCAACTTTCACGCTGTTTTTAGACTAATTATTCATGCCAAAATATATAAAGCCATATTTTTATGTCATCAATGGTTATTAAACTTACAAAAAAGGAGCATATTATAATTTTATTGTCATTACAAACTGACTACCATGACAAAATAAGTCTGTCCCTCGATTTGGCGTCACTACCATTTGGGGAAATTTTTCAACTTTGGAGCACGACAGTGGCAAGCCTGGCATCGATGGAGTCAGTTGGTTTTAGAGACTAGTTCGGGGGGTACGTCAGGATTGTAGTGCCGGTCGTTTCGAGTTGAAAGGAGGAATTACAAGATTAATAAAGGAAAGATTGTGTTTTTTGTAATTTTGGTGTGTCCATGACCGTACGTATTCATTCGATGAAGTACACATGGTGTTAATTTTTGTTTATAAGATATTTCAATTGCTAGATTAACCTAGAAGTCCACTTTGTATCCTCGAACATGAGGTGCAGGGCTACCGCCAGAACAGAGCCAAATAACTCGTAATTTCACGACCAAAGTTTCACGACCATCGCGGGTTTTTTCACGACCAATCTAGCCTTTTGGATTATAGAATAGAATAGAATAGATTTATTGGCCATTCATTAATTACACTATAATTACAATAGACTTCGTCAAGTTTAAACAATAAGTAGTCATAATACACAAGAGTCATAAATAATAATCTCTACCTAATTTAAAAATCACAGCCTCTTATATCTAAATCAAAAAATTCATTGATGTGGTATAATGGCCTACTTTGAAGCCAAACATATACTTTACTGTTAAATGCATTGTCAGAAATACTTTGATGTTCCAAGGGCAGTTTGTTGAACAATTTGATTCCCAATGAGTCATGATAGTTATTAGTTAGACTTAACCTATTTTTTGGAATTTCCAGTTTGCATTTATTTCTAGTGTTGTGTTTATGAATTTCATTTCTTTTGACCAATAAATTAACATTCTTTTTTATCAAAATCAGAACCTCATAGATGTATAAATTTATTACTGTCAGAATCCCAGTTTGTAAAAATAATGGTCTACAGTGATCTAGGCTATCTGCACCTGATAAAATTCGGATAGCTTTTTCCTGTACTAAAAGAACATGTTCGATTCCAACACCATTACCCCACACTATAAGACCATACCTAAGCAAACTTTAAAAAAAAGGCATAATATGACATTATTAAGTACTTATCTGATACAAGTTTTTTTTTAGGTTTATCAGAAGGTAAATTACTCTGGACAATTGTTTACATACATTTTCAATAAGAACTTTCCAAGAGAGCCTACTATCAATAGTAATACCTAGTAACTTAACAGGTGAACAGTTTTCTAAATCTACATCCCTAAAAGAAATTTGCAAATTACATGTTTTACTTTCATTTAAATACAAGCTATTTGAATTAAACCAATTGACAGTATCAGTAATTGAGGTAGTTACCACATGTTTACGTTCTAAATTGGCATCATTAACATTTAGTAATGTAGTGTCATCTGCATAAATAATAGTCTTACAAGTTAATTTATCAGGCAAGTCATTCATTGAAACTAAAAAAAATAGAATAGGCCCTAATACTGAGCCTTGGGGCACACCTTGGTTCACACAAGCAACATCAGAACGTATGCCATCCACTTCTACTATCTGTTTGCGGTCCAGCAAATATGACTTTAATATTGCAAGCTCTCTGTTATATAAACCATAAAATCTAAGTTTATCTAGTAAAATGTCATGTTTAACACGATCAAATGCTTTGCTCAGATCCCATAAGGTGATCTGAGCTAAAGATCCCATTTCCAGAGCAGAAATTACCTCACTAACTAGAGTATCTATGGCTTTTACCGTTGATTGACCAGATCGATAACCAAACTGACTGTTACTGAATAGGTTTGATGATTCAAAATGAGCATTTATTTGGACTTTCAAAACCTTTTCCAAAATCTTTGAGAAAATAGGTACACAAGAAATCGGCCTATAGCTACTTGGACATGCCACTGGACCTTTCTTATAAATTGGAACAACTCTTGATAATTTTAGTGGGCTCGGAAAAATACCTTCATTTAGACAACAATTTATACAAAAAGTTAATGGTTCCAAAATACAATCTATTATAGACTTAACTAAGCTACTACTTAAACCATAAACGTCTTTGCTATTGGTGCTTTTTAAAGACATTACAATTTTACGAACTTCAGTGCAAGTTACCTTAGAAAATTCACACTTTTTTGCTGGTGGGATTAGCACATTTAACAACTGATTGGCATCACTCACTGAACCTTTCACTTTAGAACTTATTTCCTTTACTGATGACAAGAAGTAATTATTGTGCTCATCTGGAGAGATGCTACTTGAAACTGTGAGTGATGATTGACCCGTTGCCCTCTTGATCACGGACCAGGCTGCTCGACATCTGTTGGTTGACCCGTCGATGAATTCTTCGTTCTTGGCCTTTTTGCATCACTCAAGGCCCGTTTGTACTGTTTTTTGAGGTACTTTACTTTATTTAATAGCTGTTCACTTCGTGATTTTGCATACACACTTTTGCAGAATAAAATCTGATTTTTCATTTTCTCAAGTCTCGGGTGTGTACCAATTAGCACATATACGGGGCTTGCTTTTGATTTTAATTTCTTGTGAGGGAAAGCATAATTCAAAAATTGACATAAAATTATTAAAAAACTGACAAAACAAATCTTTGGCCGATATATTATTAGGCTCTTTCAATATGTAATCCCAATCCAGACTGCATAGATGATGTTGGAATTTGATAATATTGTCCAAGGAAAATTTCCTATCTAATTTCATTTTGGGTCTATCAATATTTTCAGCTAGGCCTATTTTAAATTCCAATTGGAGTGCTTTATGGTCAGATAAATTTGGTTGTAGTACCCTGGTGTCACAGTCACTTTGTTGCAAGTCCGTCATGATGTTGTCTAAACAGGCTGAGCCTCGTGTGGGTTGAAAATTGGTACAGTATAAATTATATTGTCTTAAGAGATTCATTAGCTTAAGGGTGTTTGGTCAAAAATTTGATGTCTTATTTTTTGTTATTGTTCAATTGTACTAAAAATTAGAGATACAAATATATAAGAAAAAATTTTTTATTTTGAATATTAAGCGAGATATGGAGCTTGAAAGTAGTAAATTTTTAATCTTTGGTACCAGTTCACAGGGAGAATGGGTAATGCGATTCTCACCAAAATTTGCATTCAGGTGTGGAAAAATAAGATAATAATCACTAGCTATTTAAAATTAAAAAATTTAAAAAAAAATTATTTTTTATTTTTTATAAATTTTTTAAAAAATTAAAAAAAATTTTTAAAAAAATTTAAAAATAGCTCTTTGTTTTTGGGAAAAATGTATCTGTATGTTGGAATAAAAAGAAATGTGATATGTTAACTCGTTTGGGCTGTGAATTCGTACCTTTGATGCCTTGCGCTGTCGGAGCACTACTCGTTGAGAGTGTGTACACTAACACCGGGGCTTTAGAATACAACGATAAACGTATTCTTTCAATGTTAAAGGATGTTAATAATTACGTGATGTTAAAGTATTCTAAAGCCCCGGTGTTAGTGTACAAACTCTCAACGAGTAGTGCTCCGACAGCGCAAGGCATCAAAGGTACGAATTCACAGCCCAAACGAGTTAACATATCACATTTTTTTTTATTCCAACATACAGATACATTTTTCCCAAAAACAAAGAGCTATTTTTAAATTTTTTAAAAATTTTTTTTTAATTTTTTAAAAAATTTATAAAAAATAAAAAATAATTTTTTTTTTAAATTTTTAAATTTTAAATAGCTAGTGATTATTATCTTATTTTTCCACACCTGAATGCAAATTTTGGTGAGAATCGCATTACCCATTCTCCCTGTGAACTGGTACCAAAGATTAAAAATTTACTACTTTCAAGCTCCATATCTCGCTTAATATTCAAAATAAAAAATTTTTTCTTATATATTTGTATCTCTAATTTTTAGTACAATTAAACAATAACAAAAAATCAGACATGAAAATTTGCGACCAAACACCCTTAATAACACTAGTCTTTTTTGTGGTTACATCAAAATCTGCGTTTACATCTCCACATATAATTATTCTGCATTTAAAAATAGTTAGAAATCTCAATAAGTCATCTAACATTTTCAAGAATAAATTCACTTTACCATTGGGAGATCTGTATAATGCCAAAATTATGACATTATACTTCAACAACTTAACAGCCGACACCTCAAAGTTTATCTCGTCGCAATACTTCTTGACATCAATCTCTTCAGTCAATAATGTTTTGGCTACAAACACACAAACTCCCCCTCTGATATGTTCCCTTCTACAAAAATTAGTTGCTAAGTAGTAGCCTTCTGGAGCATGAAAGCTTATTTCATCAGCACCACACCAATGTTCACTAAAACATAAAACTGAGAAAGATTTGTCTTTCAATAAAACTTCTATTTCCATTACCTTTTCTCTTAAGCCTTGTATATTCATATAAAAAATACTTCTAGTGTCTAGGCCTACAGGTGGTTTAGTATTATTTACAAAACTTAGCCTATTTAAGTCCTCCTGTACTAACCCTGATGATCTGATTTTGCTTTCCAACTCCAAGTTTCCAAGTTTTTTGACCCGGTAGCTTCTGATGATTTAGCTTTGTCTATTTCAGGCGTAGAAAATCCCTTAAAATCAGTGACACTTGTATTCACGTCCAGGCTAGTGTTTCTTTCTTCTTCATTTACCAATGTGGGACATTCATTTTGCTCCTCAATAGGCCTATTTACAGTATTTACAGTTGCCTTGAGTTGGTTGAGGTGGTGAAATATTGACTGAGCAAACATTCTGGACAATTTTTTCTTGCCCGTATGGTTAAAGTGTAGTCCATGATTGGTATGGTCCATCTTATTGAAAAGAGTTTTCTTAGCAGTCACGATATTTGTGCACCCAGATTTTTTTAGGCTTTCTAACTTTACATTTAGGCTGTGGTTCATTTCTTTTATTTCTTTGTTCATGTTCATGCTACCTTTGTCAAATCTTAGGGGTATTCCACTAATGAGAATGTTAGTAGTCTTGGCAGTTTGAACAAGCTCGTCGATTCCAAATTGTGTTATATCAGGTTTAATTGACTTTACTGTATGGTTAATAGGGTTACTACAGAAATCATTTGACCCAGCCTGAATTATTAAGACATCTCTGTCAGATAATTGTTGGCAATGGTTACTGACCTCTTTGACGACTTCATTGAATCCTGCATTTGGTTTGAAGATGGTTGTTACATTAAACTGAACGCCCAGTTCCTCTTGAAGTTGACTACTACACCCCCTTCCATGACTATCTGCCAGTAACAGAACTTTTCTTTTTTCACTTTTCGAAACACTTTAATTGAGCATTTGTTTAAAAGTCCTGTGATTTCCCCTCACCGTTTGTTGGTTGGTTAGGTTAGGTCCCTGTCTCGAGACTGTTGTACCCGTTACTACAGAATTAGTTTCTTCCAAGTTTGTTAGGGCATTAAAGTGGTTAGTTAGAGGCAGGTTCCACTCTGCGGCGGTCCAATTTCTACTGTTTTTAGTAGTAGCCTTAGACTTCTTCCGATCCGAGGACAACATGGGAAAACAGTTAAAACAAGAGATCTTGTTTGAGGTTGATTCTGCGTTCTGAAGTTTAATTAGTTCTTCTTTGTCCCCTTGTAGAGTATCAATCACAACTTTCAAACTACTGATTTCTTCTTTGGCCGCCTTGAGTTCACTGTTTAAAATTTGAGTTTGAAAGTCCGGGTTTTTCTGATTTTTTAAGAGACTTTCTTGAATCGCTACTTGTTTTACCAGACTCTCATTTAACACGAGGATATCTTCCAGTTGTGTTTTCAGCCTTTGATTCTCTTCAATGACAATATTTACAGTAGATATTGTGTGATTTAGATATAGTGTGTTTGGTCGTGACAATAACTTTAATATAATTGTAAATTGAACAGTTTAGTGCAATTGAAACACATATTTTTATTATAACTAACAGGATAATTGAAGGATTGTTTAGAAAGATTTAGATTATTCCAGACAATTCACGACCGTACCGCTTGTCCCTGACCATCACGTTTATGATTTCTATCATACAAATTTCAAAAATTAAAATATCGTCATATTTCAATTTTTAGGTGTTTAGATCTCTTATGTTTTGAAAAATAAATGCTATTAATGATCTTTCAAGTAACATTAAAAAAAAACCTAGGCTACTTTGTGATTGGAGCGAACTATTTAGTAGTATTTAAACAAATAACCTTATTTCTAAAATGATTACGACATAACCGATTAATAAACTTTTTAACTAAGAATACTTCATCATAATGAATTAGAATTTAATTTATTGTAAACCTGCCGCTACAAGCAACCTTCTTGCATCATTCTATACTGCCCATTTGCTGTTCATGATAAAATGCTTGTAAATCTTCCAATCAAAAATTGGATAGTCCTTATTTTTGGCAACACTACGCAAGTCAGGCCAAGAGAAAAAATATTTTTTCCCAGGTCCACCATAGCCTGATCTAAAGTGCATACTTAGAAATCTGTACATATATTTATATCTCCTCTACCACTTCCTCTAGACTAAAAAATACACCCAAAGCAAATACATAACAGTTAGCGGTAAAAATTACATTGCAGTAAGTTATATTGTCAGATAATTATCTACTTACACTGTAATCTAATGATTTCATTGGCAAGTGTGCCTTGTTGGTAGCGCAGGTCTCTTAGGTTGGTTTCACATTTTTTCAGGTTCATTTGCAGTCGCACACCCTTGTCAGGTAGGGCTGCTAAGTTTGCAGTTTTCAATGTGGTCTAAGAACGAACATAGGCAAATCAAAGTTAAAATTTATTTTAATCTGCACTAAATATCAGTATAACTTCAACAATGCTTTTACTGTATGTTGAACATGTTGCTTCTTTGATAGTAAAAAGGTTGTGGAGACAAAGTTGAACTATTCATAGATTACCACTAATAATAGAAACTACAAAGGTAAGGAATGATGAACAAACTAATGAAACACGAACATAAACTGTAATATAGTATGAGAAAAGTGAAAGTACTTAGATGGATCAGAAAATAGTGTATTTAACCAAACTTAGCCTGATTTACTAATTGCCTAACTTGGCCAAATGGTTTTGTAGTCCAATACCTCATGTTCATTGTAAAATGTTCTGGGGAAGATGCGGTGGCTTTGTCTTAGGTTTATGTAAAGGACAAAAGAATGTTAAATCTTAGATTTAGAATTGGTAAGAAGACTATTTCTCTCATAATTTTGAAAAATTTAAACAATTCTTATGTTTCATACAATGTAATAGGAAGTCTGTTGTTGCTTTTGTTGATGACAGAGAAAGACAAACTTATAGAAAACATTTTATTAGCTTTAGTTTTTTTTATTCAGAGAGAATATAATGGGGGCCTGGACCCTCTCCCCAAAGTGATGAATATGAAGAAAAAATAAGTATGGTACCTAATAGATAGTTAATATTTATAATGATTTATTGTCAACAATAAAGAAGCATGATCTCTGTAAACTAAAAGTGGTATTTAGCACAAATTAACCTCAGAATATGAGCAGCTAAATTTAGATAAAGTATTGGTGTCTATTACTTAACATAATCTCCCCCCAAATATATATTCCATATTCGTCACTGTTTTGATTGGTTGATTATTTAGGCTGTTAGTTACACTTTGTCCAAAGACTAACAGAAAAAACAAAAACAACACCAAGGGACTAAACAAGAGCAGGCGGAGTTCTGACAGCATGTAATAATTCTAAGGATTCTAAACTAATTCAAACTTGGCCTTGGTAGATAATGAATTTCCAAGGGCTTGAATGTTCCTCTGGGTTTATTCAAAATAGCCTATGAAAACTTAAACTCTGCTTGAAAGTGAATTGCAAGACTTGGGAATGTAATTTTATAATACATACCTTAATGGTTTCGATGTTCCTAACTACTTCTTTAACTTGAACTTCTAATTTTGTTTGCTCTGCCTTCAAACTTTCCAATCTGGATGAGTAATCATTTTCTGAAGAATTCTTGGGGACAGTAGGTAGGTCTATATTTATATTTTTATTCTCTTGAGGTTGTTTTTTATCATTGTTGTAAGATAAGTTTAGTTTTGTTAAATGGAAATTGAGCTCTTTTTCTAATGATAGTTTACCATCAGAGTTGGGGATTTTATCATCTTCTGAGTCTGAACTAATAGTTATAACTCCTTTACGGTTGGAGATGTTCTCAACATCACTCTTTACTCGACCAGAAAGGTCAATAGCATTGTTTTTATTGGACTTCCTTTGGTCCCCATCATCAATTGGAAGAGTAAGATCTATCATAGGTAGTTTTGACCTTGATGTTGCTGAAACATCTTTTATTTTTGGCAGAGACAAGTCATTATCACGAGGTGCAAAACTGTCGTTGCTGCTGTGGTCATCGATCAGACTTTTGTTGTTCATTGTAGAAGTTGAGGAGTTCACATCCTCATCACTAAGTACATCGGAAATATTGAAATTTGAATCTTGTAATGAGCTATTATCTTCATCACTTGAAATGACAAATTTTTTGTTTTTACGTTTTGCTGATTTAGTTATTTCTGGACTTGATTCTTCGTCGTCTGATATTTCTGGTGTTCTATCTGCCAACAGATTATTGGCAGAAAATAATGAACTTTTCTTCCTTCGCCCATTTGTCTGTTTCAAGCCAGACCCAGACAGGGAAGAGAAATTATTGCTGTTGTCTTCATCAGAAGAATCTTGCTCATCTGAATCTGGTACAATAACTGACTGTTTTTTTCTCTCGTTAAGAGATCTTCCTAGTTCATTAACATTAAATGATTCATCAGAATCAGGAACATAATCGTTACTTGGTGAAGAAGCTACTACTTCAGTTTCACTATCACTAGCCGACTCTTCAACTAAAACATTTTGTTTTGGCTCACAGTTTGAATTTTCACTGTTGTCTAAATCCTTATCAATATCGAGCAAGCTTTTGGGCTCTCTCCATGATGAAAATGATTTTTCCATTGTGGACTAACTGAAATCAAAATTACATGTTAGTACATTGTACTAGAGTTTAGTAAGTACAGTTAAGTTAGTGTTTTTAAATAAGAACAGTATTTTATATAACACAGTGGCAGCGATAGCGGGAGCTAGGGGGGCCCTCGACCGTTGACCGTGATTTTTCAGGAAATTTTACCGGGCCTGCGACGGTGCTACACGCTCTGTTACACTATAATAACAATATTTATATGAGACTTACCATGAATTTTTTGTTCGAAAATTTGTTAAAACCAGTAAGAGCGCTAGGACAAGTAGTAAACAACAACTAAACTGACGCTACACTTGACCGATCAATAGAAATTCTATACTAACCTAAGTAAAAGAATTGTCATCAGTCATGCAGGTTGCATTAACTGACCTCGTGGACTGCGTTAAGGCGCTATAATAGGGCCGTATTTAGATCCGATGTGGCCCCTGGCGGGTCACACCCACTACATACCCACACTTCTATACTGATTCAACTAAATGAACTTGACCATTTTTACTTTCTCCCCATACATAGTATATAGAGAAAGTATTGTTTTTGTCAAAACTTTTGAGTAAAAACCCATAAAATAAGGGAACAATCGGATTTTTTTGTTTACATACAAGCTTATGGGAGAAAGTATGTGTCAGTTTGCTGATACTGTTTATATACGATCAAATCAGCAAATAAACCTAAGAGGCTAGGGCACTAGCTAATAAATAATTCCATTCTTTCATTGCTCCTACGGTAGAACCTAACTAATTTAAACCTCGATAATTCGAAAACCTCTATAATTAGTAATGTTTGTTACCCTCAGAAAACCTCTAAAATTAAAAAATATATACCAATAATTCAATGTGATTTTTTCGATTATTGCAGCCTCTACGATTTGAATTTGTACATACTTGAGCCTCTACAATTTGAATTAAATTTATTGCCATAATTCAAATTGTTACCCCCAAAATTCAAACTCATCCTCTACAATTCGAACAGCGTCACCGTAAGCCTCTGTAATTTGAATTTAGAACAAAAAATATGCCTGTTGAAACATGAACTGACGCTCTTATTGATGTTCCACGATGTGTTCATTAGTCTCCGTTCTCTCAAACTCTCTACACTTAAAACTGGGACCTCCATAATTCAAATTTTATTCATTCTGACCTCTATAATTCAAACTCTCTATATTTCAAACTTCCTATACCGTAATTCCAAATATATTGTCTTTCCTCTGAAATTTGAATTAGCGAGGAAATTTGAATTAGCGAGGTTCTACTGTATTGGGAGGCTGCACACTAGGTTTCTTTGTTTACTTCGAGTTAGGTAAAATACCCCCGCCGCAGCAAATCTGTAGACTAAGAGAATTTCCATCTACCTAACTGGAATCCACTATTAAATTATTCCCTTAAAATTGTCAGATTTATTTCCTATTTAAATATCATAATTTTTAATGAGTAGGCCTACTTAGGTTTGTTGTGATAGGGAAGACAATGAGGTTTGATTTTTATTGAAATATTGATAGCTTAGTATGAAGTTTAAACAAAATTCCCAACTTCATTAAAATATATCCATAGACAAGCAAGCTACAACAGTTTATATATTCTCCTTAAGAATAACATGGTAATTTTAAATTTAGACCTTTTTGGGATTTTTTCCATAACTGTTAGGCATACAACAACGCTTCAATATACTAAATTATTTGGTTTTTTAGCTCTGCAAAATGGTTTGGAAAGAAATTTCAAAATTTTATGTTTTCAGGGTGAAAAATGGGAAATACCCACAATCCCATAAAACCCTGTTTCTATAGTCCGATCGTGCTGGTTTGCAAACTCGTTAGAATAAATGTAAGTTTAAACGTTTATACCAATATCATTTAAATCGGATAATTTTTGCTTGAGTTATCGTGCTAACGGACACATATACTGTAAATGAATTCGAACGGATGGTGTTTTTGGCCTCTGGGGACCTCAAAACGAAAAAGTAAATCGGTCCCGGGTCCAGGTCTTGAGCAGAGCCTAGCCTACAAGTTTGAAAGATCAAGTACAAAAGCAGATAATCGAGCTCTAGCCGATTTTCTCAATCTTGGGGAATAGGTAGAGCCTTGATGCTAGAGTCCATTACAAAAACATCAATTCTAGGATTTTTTTATTTTAAACTTAATGTGTTGTATTTTTGTGGTATTCCTTCGTTGCTAAAACCACGTGTTAATGAAACTCCACAACTCTCAATAATACAACAACTTCACATCAAATATTTATTTTTTAAACATTTCTTGAACTTTGAAATAAACTGGGAAGTTTAGACATTTAAGATAGGTCAATTTAATTCTGTATGTCTCAAAATAGCTTTAAAATAGCTCATTTAAGCACACCATTTTCAATTTTTTTCCGGGGGATGACCCACGGCCCCTCTCCTTTGGGGGGGGGGGGGTATTCCATACACTGTAAATGAATTAGAACGGATGGTGATTTTGGCCTCTGGGGACCTCAAAATGAAAAAGTAAATCGGTCCCGGGTCCAGGTCTTGAGCAGAGCCTAGCCTACAAGTTTGAAAGATCAAGCACAAAAGCAGAAAATCGAGCTCGAGCCGATTTTCTCAATCTTGGGGAATAGGTAGAGCCTTGATGCTAGAGTCCATTACAAAAACATCAATTCTATGATTTTTTAATTTTAAACTTAATGTGTTGTATTTTTGTGGTGTTCCTTCGTTGCTAAAACCACGTGTTAATGAAACTCCACAACTCTCAATAATACAACAACTTCACATTAAATGTTTATTTTTTAAACATTTCTTGAACTTTGAAATAAACTGGGAAGCTTAGACATTTAAGATAGGTCAATTTAATTTTGTATGTCTCAAAATAGCTTAAAAATAGCTCATTTAAGCACATCATTTTCAAATTTTTCCGGGGGATGACCCACGGCCCCTCTCCTTTGGTGGGGGGTATTGCGTATAGATCTCCAGAAACAATGTAAAGAAGCAATAATCAACTGTTTTCTTTAGTTTGAGACTCTACCTAGCAACAACACCAATCACCTATGATTCTCCATTCATGAAATGTTCACTAATAAATCCTAAGTTACAACCCTGATTAAAGTTCACTGGGGTCTTATGCAGTTTTGTCGGGTCCGCGGAATTGGCTAACTCTGGAACCTGCTAACCCCATGTTAAACGCCCTATCTTCAAATTTGGTCGATGAGAGGAACTCGCTAACTTGTTCGGTTTCGGAATTGGCTAACTCCGGAACCCGCTAACCCGCTCTAGAGCCGGGTTAGCGAATTCCGTCCTCGCACGGAAGTCGCTAACTCGGTCCCTCGGCGGAACTCGCTAACTCCCAATCAGAAGCCACGCGAGCCGTCCAATGGGAGCCAAACACGAATATTTTTGGCCAGTGTTGCCGAAAGTGTAGTACCTATCGTATCGGTACCATAATGTCGTATCCTACGATTATTAGGAGTAAGAGCAACGTAGTCGATAAAATAAATATATTTAGAAGTATGTTTAACATTATTCCTATGATTATTATTGTGGAAAATGCATTATAGTCTTACCATAGACTAACCAACACAACTAAACTTTACATCCCATTGTAAACTTTGAAGCTCGTTTTTCGTGTCTAGTTCATGTCCGGTGACACTGATCGCTAGTGTTGACAAAAGTGTGTTTCTATTATTTTATAGTTAACTTCATGATTTGTTTTTTAATGTTTGGTTATATAACTAGGGGACGTGTTATTAGTTGTGATTAGAACGTTTTATTTGGTTAAACGAGGTTTTAAATTACTGAAAACAAGAAACAATTGTAAACAAAACACGACCTCTAAAGACAGTGCACCGGACAGAACTAACAATAAAACTGTCTTCAGCTGATCCATTAGGATGAGAAATCTACTAAGGGAGTATGTTTTATCTATGATAGTAGCTTATTGGTATGCAAAAAGATAAAAATGCACATTTAATTTGGATCTATTACATGTTATGAAATATCTATTTTCGTAGTCCGCCATTTGTTTCTTTTATTCGAATAAATACCATTTTGTAAATTTCTGCAAATAAAATTATTGAGTTCGTATTTTATATACTGGGCTTGTAACCTTGAATCATAAATCATAATAAAATTTACACGTTAAACGTAATTAAAGAATTACATTGTAGTGGTAATGTATTTTTAAATAGAGCTATTGAATTTAAATAAATATTTATCAATACATTATAAAGTGGTAGGCCTAATGTATTCATGGATTGCATTAAAAGTTAGTCTATGCATAAATACAACTTGTAAATTTCTTTTATCGTAGGCTATTAGTGTAGACCCGGGGTCATCCTCTTAATTTTGTTGAATTAATATTAATTTTACGTCTTTCAGTAGGCCTACTTTTTAAATGTCTGGAGTGTTTCTCTAGGCTGATTCTAAATGGATGCAGGCGTTCTTGTTTGTTACAATTCTATGAATTGGTGGTCATAGCTAAAATTACTTAACTTATCCAAAAACAAAGCTATTGTCTATTGTGAAGCTCAGTACTGGGCAACGGTGAACCGAGCAATGGCTTGGTATAGTTTATATCTATTGTGAAAGCAATATAAAGGAAACCCAACACTCAAATCAGGAAAATCCGTCAATTCGTTTATTAAGAATCGTGAATTAAAATTACCGTGTCACGTTTTATTATATGAATATTATATCTTTTACTATTTTTTACTAGTGGTGTTTAGGCGTACAATCTAAAAACGGTTTTATAACATGTAACATAAATCTGTTTTCCGTGTTTAAGAACTTGCGTGTATTTTAGCTTAGTTTCGTAGAGGTTTAATTATTTAGTACCAATTAAACTGAAATTTCAATATTTTTCATATTCTATTATTTTCTTTTATACTGATGGCATTTATATTTAAGATCGAAATCATAAACATTTATCTGGCCATTGTAGAGTTTAATAAAAAAAACACTTTTTCATGATTTTTTAATTGTCTTTGAATTGCTTTGGGCTAGTTATCTGTTAAAAGTGGAATTGATAACAAAAAACAATAAATTTACTGTATCTTTATTGACACTGACATTTTGAAATACGGCAGTGTACGATTATTTTGTCGTACAAGGTTGGCAACGCTCCGTGCAGTGGGCGCGGCCGGGTTAGCGACTTCCAGAGTTAGCGAATTCCGCCGCGAGACAAAATCGAGTTAGCGGGTTCCGGAGTTAGCCAATTCCTGACTGAGACGGTTAGCCAGTTCCAGAGTTAGCCAGTTCCTACGTCTCGTTTTGTCTACCTACTTGTGCAGTTGGGTCTAATAAGTTATTGGGAAGTCATTCGTACAAAGAAAATAAATAAATAGTGTCTCTGATGAAAATGGCTGCGTTTACATAGGAAGCATGCTTGGGCAAGAAAAATGGTAGAGTCCTACGCTTGCACATGCGTGCCTGAAGGTGTGGTTACACTAAGAGGAACCAAAAGCGCAAGTGGTCGCCGCCATTAGTCTCAGTGGGGTAGTTCAGTCAAAATGGAGATGTCAGATGATGAGGATATTGTGCTTGAGAATGGAGTTATGAAGTTTTTATTATTAGACTCCAAACGAGTTAGGGGGAATGGGTAAATGATTAATTATGGATCGAGAAGGAGGGGAGTACGCTCAGATTTTTGCTGATCTTCTGCAACCAGCCAGATAAGCCAGATAACTGCAGGAAATGTATCTCTCCCGAAGAAAAGCTTATGGTTACGTTAAGGTAATTGATATGAGCATTATGTATTATTGTAGTAGTTATATATAAAGCCCAAAGTACACCCATAAACCATATACTTAATATGTTCGTCATGACGAGAAACCTTGCGCAAAACTATCCATTTTTTCATAAATTGCCCTTTAAGGTCATAATTAATTGCTTTCCAAAGGGAACTTTCCATATACTTAATGTTAAAAATACCACAGCTGTTCTTATTTGTATGTTATTCTTTCAATTTATTACGTTATTAAAATCTGGTGTGATTATTTGTTTGTATGCTGCATTCTGTTTTGTTTATTTCAGCTTAACTTAACCAATCAATAGTTTTATTAATACTTATGAAGTGAAACACGGGTCGAAGCCCCGTGTTTCGAACCCACTGGAAGCCCGTGGGTAACAGCTAGTTGCTAATAATTCAAATAGGCCTACGACTTACATAATTTTATAAAATATATTTACACATGTACTACCATTATTGTTAATGAATTTACCTTTTTGGAAGGGTCTATTGTACGAGAGCAATCCAGAAAGTAGCCTAGATTAAGTTTTTGTCTCTATCTGCTAAGGACGGGGCTAGCACGACCATCTGCGAACTGTGAAGTGTGTGCAGTTATAAGGTTTTTGACTGCAAACAACTAGAAACCGATAGAAATGTATCGGCAACTTTGCGAAGTTTATGGGGAAAATATTATTACTGAAGGTGGAGTTCGTCAGTGAGTCATCAAATTTTAAAATGGCCGAACTAACGTTTACGACAAAGAGCGAAGTGGAAGACCCAGCATTGTAAATGCCGAGCTTGTCGAAAAAGTCGATGCCAATGTCCGTAAAACTCTTAAGTTCACAATAACAGAACTCTCTATGGGTTTTTCACAAATTTCACGTAGTTTGTTGCAGATCATAACCGAAAAGCTTGGTTACCAAACTGTAACCAAAGAGTCCATTCATTTATTTGCACGCACTTCACAGTTTGTGGCATTTTCAATTAACAAAGACATTTTTAACTGTCACAGTAACTCAACAGAGTACAGCAGAAACCTATTACTAGCACGGCTAGATGCCGACTGAGCTGCATAACAAACTAACACCAAGATGGTCACGCTAGCCCCGCCCCTAGCGGATAGTCAAAAACGTAATCTACTTTCTGGATAGCCCTTATCGTAAATAATGAAGGCAATTAATTTTAGTAGAAAAAAATTTTATTTTGATTTGACAGATAATTGCATTGCAAGTCATAAAGTAATTGAAATTCCTTTTCTTTATGATGAAAACAAGGGCGTGTCTATAGGACTATATATTACATTATGTTGTGAATAAAAACCAATTATATCTGGGTTATTTTCCACAGTCCAAGAAATAAAATTAATCACTCAAAACTGTCAACGATTGTTCATTTTGTTCCGTTAAGATAAAAAAATACATGAAATACAATAATTAATTAGGCGATGGGAACTCGTGGCTGTAGCCTGGAACTAATTTTAGAGTATCATCATTATATGGGGTCATCCCTTCAGTAGCCATCTTAACCGAATGCTGACCAGGTGATGATACCACTGTGGAATATGAGTCTGTACTTGTTGGACACTGAGTATTTCCAAGCTGGAATAAGTTCATTTGAGTATTGAAATTCTCTTCATGGAAAAACACGTCTTCTATCTTCCGTCTGATGTAAAGTTTCCTGTGAGCTGGTATGGCTCTGAGTGATGGAAGGAGGCTCATGAGAAAGTGGTAGTCTGCATCCTGTACTTCTGCTTGATTAGCCTGCTGTCGTTGTACATACTCAGCGACCTTTTTTTCCTGAAGCTGTACCATCTTGTGCAACAGTGTTTTTTTTAAAGCGCCAGGACATTGCGGTCGTTTGTCTGTGCTGAAAGCAGGGGATGCGGAACGTTTTTTAGTAGAGTCTGTAAGACCAGCAGTTTGGTTTGAAGAGGAGGCTGACCTCATATCCTGGTTAACTGGCTGATTCTTCTCTGTTCCTGTAATTTCTTCTGCAGCCGGTTCTTCCACTAGCTTAATATTTGTGTTATCGTCAGGCGTTGGAGAATCCACCTGTGACTCAGAAAGTTGAATACCTGGGCCAATGATTCCAGAAATAACACGAGGGACGAACTGCTCTTGAAGGAACGACATGTTATTGTAATATGCCCACTTACTCTTCCACTCACTTCCTGCTGCTTGCCCAGTAGTAATTCGTGTTTTCTTAGCTTCTTTCCTATAATTCTCACGAAGGGTTTTCCATTTTTTCTTAGCAGCTCCACCTATAAAAAAATGTATTTTGTTAAATCGTTTGAATACAGTATAATAAAAAAAGTCTGTCTGAAAAATGTATACTAATCAAAACCAAGAAATATTTAACTTATTTAATCACTCACTCCCAAATACTATATACATATCGATTCCTCCCCGTGTACCGATAACTAACTATCGATATAAAAATGTGCATCAGTGCTTATGTCGTTCTTTTTGCCATTAGCCATCACCCTGACAAAAACATGTTTAGAACAAAATGTAGCATATCTGTAAAAAGGCAGTCTTTCAGGAGATATTCCAGAATTTGTTCATAATTCCCTGAGTGACTTTTCCAGACCAACAAAATTCCCTGACTTTTTCAGTTTTGGCCTCCTTTAAAATATCCCACAGTACCAATTAAAAGATTATTTACGAGCTTTGGGAAGCTATCTAGGAAAACTTGTGAGGATCACATGCCGCCTACCAAAGAATCCTTAGAATCAGCGGCGGATGACTTTCACAGAATGTGGAAGTTTCCCAACTGTGTTGGTTGCGTAGATGGAAAGCATATCAGAATTAAATATCCATCTAATTCAGGATTGATGTTCTATAATTACAAGACATTTTTCTCAATAATTTTGCAATGCGTAGCTGATTCTCACTGCAGATTTATATGCATTGATGTTGGTCCTAAAGTCTATCCTAAAAGCTGGTTTCAAAAAGTGTAAAAGATACCCCTCAGATTTACTATTTCATGAAACTGGAATATTCCCCATTGCAAAATTGTTTATTAAAGATCTTCTAATTTTTATATTTAAAAACTTCAATTCAATTTTTACTTCCATAACCCACACTCATAATACAAGATATGCAAATAGAATTGGAATTTCTACTATTCAGCAGCATAAATCCTTTTCAAAAACAAATTGTTTCTACATAGCACATATTTTGTTCCGGAATTATTCCACTATGTATAAAGCAACTCAGTTATTTCATTCACCTACATTAGGTGTATTCAAAAATCTAGTTAATAGATGGTTATTGGATATCAGCGATGAAGAGGCCGAGGCTCTTATCACTACTGATAACAGGAGACCTGCCACTGTCTGACAGCACTGAACGGACAGGGCCTCTGCAAACTCTTGCAACCAACAAAATTCTTTTCCATTTTTATTTATTGGCTTCTCCTTAAACAATTCTGTTCATAAAAATTTAAACTAATATTTACTCCAATTTTTTATATAATCTTTAAACTTATCTTTATCTTTACACGTTCCCATAGCACATAGTAAATTTTTATTTAATCTTAAACTTTTTCTTCTATTTCAAATTAGCTCAAAAATATATATAATTTTTAACAACTCGAGTCTACGCACAGACCACTGAGGTCCATGTAGACTCATTTCCTTATCTATTACATTAGTTATTATTCAAGCCGGAGCAAACATTCAACTAGTATTTAAGTTTTTACTATTATTCATTATTCATTATTCATTAGCCTTCGTCGTTGACCCTCTGATGAGGGAATAGACTGCGTCGTTGATTAATACGAAAAAAAAAGACACAAAAACAAAGACTACACGCACATATAAAATAAAACTTATTTAACATGGCGGGCAGGCAGTAGGCGGTACAAAAAATTAATTGTCCCGCTCCAAATTGTCCTTAAAGAATTCCTCTACTTTGTAGTATGGTCTATTGATCATCAAGTCTTTCACAGCACTCTTGAACTTCCGGTCGTCCAGACATCGAATGCTGGAAGGGAGTCTGTTGAAGAACTTGATGGCTGACGTAGGGAAGGAATTGAGCGTCCTGCTCAATCTCGCACGGGGAACATCAAGATCCTGCCTAGCTCTGGTATTATGGGCGTGGATGTGGCTTCTGGTGTTGAGAAGAGGAACACTGCATTTCATTTCAACCAGGCAGGCGTAGATGTAGTGGCTGCAGACGGTTAGAATTCCAAGTCTCTTGAATATCGGTTTGCAGTGTTCTCTAAAAGGGCTCCTTGAGATTATACGGACTGCCGCTTTTTGAAGCTTTAAGACTTCCTCCACTTCCGACGCATGACCCCAAAGGTGTAGTCCATACGCAATGTGCGAATGAAACAGGGCATGGTATACCATGAGCAGGTACTGCTCCGTGACACATTTCCGGAGGCGCCTGAGGAGACAGTTGACTCTCGCAAGCCGTGTGGCAACATGGGCAGCATGGTCATTCCAGTCGAGTCGGCTGTCCAGCTGGAAACCGAGAAGTTTTACTACAGCCATGTCGTCCGAGGAGTCTCTTGAGAGGGTACAAAGGAGTCTCTGGGTTTTGTCTCCATTCAGTTGCAGCTTATTCATCTGGAACCATGCTTTTGCTTCTTGGACCTGGATTATGGCTAAATCCCTAGTGTGGTGTAGGTTTGGCCCTTTAGTGAGAAGCGTGGTATCATCCGCAAATAGTATAGAGCTGCTGGTCTCGTCGATGTCGTTGATGAGGACCAGGAATAGAAGAGGGCCCAGCACAGATCCTTGGGGAACCCCCTGGTTCACCTCCAGTTCTAGAGAGCTTGCACCTTCGAGTATTACCCTCTGGGTTCTGTTGGCTAGGTAGTTCTTGAAGGTGGAGAGAACCACACTACCAACGCCATATCTGCTGAGTTTTTTGAGCAGGATATCATGGGATACACAGTCAAAGGCTCTGCTGAGGTCACAGAGTGTTAGCATTACCGACTCCCCAGCTTCAAAGGCCTCGCCAACCTCTCTTGCAATCCTGGCAATCGCAGACGAAGTAGATCTCCCTGCGCGGAAACCGTGCTGTGAGTCTGAAAACAGCTGGTGTGTTTCAAAGTATGTATACAACTGATTCTTCATCACCGTCTCTATCACCTTACTAATCACAGGTAGTATCGAGATAGGTCTGTAACTCGAGATACTGGCATGATCACCTTTTTTGTATATTGGAATGGTCTTGGCTCTCTTTAGCTTGTCCGGAAAAACACCTGTCAACAAGCACCTGTTGATAACTGTAGTCAGGGGGGCAGAGATGTCATCAGCTACATCCTTCAGTAATTGGGATGACCAGCCAAAACAGTCACATGCTCTGGAACTTTTGAGTCCAGAGATTAGAGTCCGTATCTGCTTTTCTGAGATGGGATTCCATCTGTCAAGGGAACAGTGGAGCTCTTCCACATGCCTTCCGACATAAGCCAACGGGTCTTGGGGGCTATCTGGGATGTTGTAGATAATTTCTTCAACAGACGAGACAAAGAAGGTGTTGAAATCATCTGGACTCGCCATGCAGGACATTTTAGGCTTTTGGGGTTTCACACTATTTACCACACTCCAGGCTGCTTTGCATCGGTTTTGCGAGCTTTCAATGAAACGGACATTGGCCAACCGTTTGGCTTCCTCAACTTTTTTATTATAAAATCTTTTCAGGGCCAGGTAATTATGAACATCCCCTCTGTCTCGAAGGGCCATCATCAGGTTTTTCAAGTCGGTTAGGTTAGGTGAGTACCAGTCTCTCACTTTGTGTCTTGTCTTAGATGAATTTGTATCCTTGAGTTTACCTGTAGGTCTACCTTTTTTGGTTGACGCAGGGAAGCATTCGTCAAAGAGATCCTGTAAGGTATCAAAAAACACATCGAACCATGCATCAGGGTTTTGTAAGTCAAAAATGCAATCCCATCTTACTGCCCTGAGACGACCCTTAAAGCTAAGCAGAGCCTCAGGTTTTGAGAGATTTCGTCTATGCGAGAAAACATAATTTGCATGCCAGGGGAAAACAGTGGGTGTACTCACCGATGAAGTGTTGACATTTAATACCACGGCATCATGATCGGAGATGTGTGGGACAAGAACTTTCGAACTGTACCTCTCCTGCGGAAGCGATGTAAGGATGATGTCGAGGCATGAGTTCCCTCTGGTTGGGATTTCGTTGGTAATAAATAAGCCACACTGTCTTGTCAGAAGCTTGAAAGTTTTCTCCTCACTGGAGCTGGACAATATGTCAACATTAAAATCACCACACACAACAAGATTACAAGACAAAGAAGACAAATAAATAATACATTTCTCAAAGATCTCGCAAAAGCTATCAAATAGAGCATTGATAGGAGACCTATAAACAGATGCGACCACAAGGTCGAAGTCCGCAACTCGGATGGCAGCTACTTCACAGACTTTTTCTTCACAGAAATTTTCCAAATTAATCGTAGTGAAAGTCAGTTCTTTATTTATATAAAGTGCAACACCACCGTTTTTTGCAGTAATCCTACAGAAACTTGTGGCCATTGTCATGTTACTAATACTATGGTAGTACATAACCTCATCATGTACCAGCCAATGCTCAGACACACAGAGAATATCCAAGTTTTCGTCATCAGCAAAGATTTCAACACTGTCAAATTTGGTTCTCAAACATTGGACATTCAAGTGACCAATAATTAGGGAGCTTGGATCATTTGGTATGACTACCCCACTGAGGCTAGTGGATGCTTCTGTTTCCCTAAAAAAATCCGGGACTCAATTTGTGCAGGCCTAGGCCTATGGTGTCTGCTAGGTCTGGCTGGTAAAAATTTCCTTACAAATATGTTTGTTGGCCAAAACTCTGAGGTTAGAACCCTGTCAAAATCGTTTTTACACACACCTACTTTAAAGGATTTGTAAGAATTGTACTTACTCTTCAGTTCTGTACATTCAACATTTTGGATACCTTCACTTGTGAGGAAGTTGGAAACATCCATAGTCGTTGTAGATGGTTGGAGTCTAGAGATAAATAGCCACTCCTGTTTTCCAACTGATTTTAGAGTTGTCTTGACGTTGGTACCAATCACACCAGGGATATCACGACCCAATTTGGGCTTCTGAGGATTTTTAAGTGCACTCGCATACGTTATATCACCATTCATCTCAGGTTTCCTAACCTCACCAGCGCTAAATACATCGCAGTTTGCAGTATTTTTGTTTTTACAAGTGTCTTCCACTTCCACTCTCGAACAGACAGGAGTGCCAACGCCAACATGCGCTAAACTGAAGTTGGTCGTCATCGTCAGATCAGATGATGGGGCAGGGCTATATGGTTCCATCACTGCCATACTAACGTCGTTGGCGATGGTAGCAGACGACTGGAGGTCGTTGTCAGAAAATGAGGCCGTGCAGTTGTCATCACTGACTGGGAGTGGGAGATTATTTTCGTTTTTCTTCTCCATGACGTTTGAAGGCGAAGTGTCGTCTGCATCGTCTGCTCGTGACGTTGCTTCCGCTTTTAAACCACATTGTTTGGCAATAAGGTTAATATTTGTACTAAGTTTGACATGATGTGTAACGATATTACTTAGCTTCTTTTTGGTGTTTTCTTGAACCTTACACACAGAATTCACAGCCTCTTTAAGTTCATTGAAGCCTGTTACTAATAAATTCTTTAAGTCACAATCACTTGAAATGACGGTTTGCATACGGGCATCACAGGGACCACAGAACCATCGAATTTTCTCCCCGAGTCGGCTAATCTGGTCGTAATCCTTCTTACTTATCTTGACACATTTATGGTGGAACCACGAAGAGCAAAATCCTTCACACTCAAGAGCGTAGTCCTCTTCAGATACACTATTAGAACACACACCACACGTAAACCGCTGCTGCGTGACCGCCATGTTGACCGGAAATCCCAAATATAATTTTATAAATTTAATTTTACTAGAATTAATTTACGTAATCAATTTACTCTATAATGCTTCAAGACTATATATATTTGTATTTTATTTTTTTGAAAAATTGTAAATTTTTATATATTGTGGAAATAAAATTGATTTGATTTGATTTGATTTGGTGGTTGTGGTCGCCAAAGTGACGGGTGGTGTATAACAATCCATGGTATTGTACCAAAAGTTACAAGAAAAATCACTAATGCCTAATAATAAAACCCTCCCATACTCAGTTAATGCACCAACAGATCCCGTGCCTTATGTCCTCCTAGGGGACCAAGGTTACCTCTTAAAAACGTACCTTTTGAAGCAATACAACCGCCAAAATGCTACTGAAAATTGTTTAACAAGAAACTGTCATCTGTTTGTAGTGTGGCTTCGGGCTTACAGTGGCTCTAAAAACTAAAATACAGTGCACGCCAGAAAAAACAGAGTTAATTGTTAAATGCGCTTGCATCCTACATAGCATCGGGATCAACAGAGAACCGAGTGCAGAGATTAATAGATAAATGTTCGTAGAGTGATGGAGTGTGACTTCGGGCTTACAGTGGTGAAATGGAGAGCTCTAAAAACTGAAATACAGAGCATGCCAGAAAAAACAGAGTTAATTGTTAAATGTGCTTGCATACTACATAACATCGGGATCAACAAAGAAGGGAGTACAGGGATTGATAGATATACATCTAAAGGTTGCACAGACAGGCTACTGAAACTCACTAGGTACATCCCAAAAGTTCCGAAGATACAATAGGGCTACTGAGAGGGTGATGAGAATTTGTGACGCCTTTAAGCACTACTTCTAGACTTTGCTATTTTTTCAGTTTCCTTGTTTTTAGAGACATTTATTTCTACCCCATAAACTTTGTATGTCGTTCTAATAACATGGTCCATTGATTTATGATTTTAATTAAATAAATTGTCGCTTATATCAGTTGATTGATTATTATTATAAAAAACTGTAGGAGTCAATGTTATGTCCATACAGGTTTTTTTTTCTTCAAAAAAACATAACAATGCTTTTAAAACAGTACAATTAATTTAAATGATCCTAGGCAAGCCTAAGATTTGCAACATAACAAAACCTTATTATTATAGGTAGGCCTACCTTATTGTAGGTCTGTTTTGTTTGATAAACACAAATTATTTAATCAAAAAACCTGTTTAACAATAGGGTTACTTTAAAAATGGTATAATAAATTAATTGAACCTTGGAGAGCCTAAGATTTCCAACATAACATAATTAATTATTAGGTTTTGATAAACAAAAATAAAATTCCATATATGCTATATATAATATTGTTTGATAAGTTAAAATCTATATGCAACTAGCCACCCTACAATAATAAAAATCCTTATGAGTAGAAGGCCTACGGTACAAGAAATCTGGATTAATTTTTTGTACTTACATTCAATACCCAGTTCAACAGAGATTTCATCCCAGAGTTTTTTCACACAATCTCTGTTGCTGTGCAACTTCAAGGACGCGTCCCAAATTGGTCTTCTTGCACGAACTGCATCAATCAACTCCTCCGTATCCATGCTGAACAACTAAACTTTATAAAACACTTTACCAACAGTTACACAACCGATGCTACTGTGTAAGTGAACCACAACAAACTGAGGCACGCTTGCTTCTAGAATAAATTTATTTTTGTTTCCTGATTGGAAAAGCGCAAGCTTGTCCCAGCGTGCGCGCTTGCTAGTGGCGAGCACTGTAACCATGACTGGACAAGTTGCCACAGGTTTCCAGAAATCTACAATGTTGTTTCAAATGGCAAGCTTGGCCAAGCTTGCCCCACCATTTAACTTGCCCAAGTGTGCTTCCAATGTAAACGCAGCCTAAGAAGTCAAGGATGTGACATTGAATTACACTACAGTGTCACTTGAAATTTAAGGTTCTTTGTTTTGTGGGAAATAAAGATTTGCAAAGATTGGTGTGTAAAGATTTTATGATCATAAAAAAATACTAGCTAGGCTACATAAAATATAAAAAATTATTAACAATTAAAAATTTTGTTTAGAAATGTACCTAGGCTATGAATTTAATATTATTGAGATTCAGAAAAAATATAGAAAGAAGTCTCCTTCATTCAATAAAAAATATACATAAATTAAATAGCCTACTTTTTATAAGGAAGCACTAAGGTTTGTTTACCTTGGCTGTTACATATATATAGGCCTATATATATGTACCGGTATATACCTTTCCATCTTAGAACGCTAGTCTCTAGTCTGGAACAGTTTAACACGTTCGCTACTGCAATAGTACGAAATTTGTCATTCACATGGACCAGCGACGCACATATGCAACGGCCGGTTTCCACCCATAGACTGCCGTCGCATATTTGCGTCGGGGTTCTAATGTTATTAAAATGCTTATATCTTTGTAACAGTCTATTTGAAGGCACTGAATTCCCTGCAATGGTCTACAGAGATGTCTGACGCACAACTGCGTCGCTTGGTCTGTGGATATATAGGCTAATGATTGGTGACGTCATATGATAGTTGAAAAAAATGGTCTTTACTTTTCTACATCACTGTATGTAGGCTATGTATGCAGTATGTATGCTACATTATCATGTAGCTTTTATATTTGTTCAGTCATAAACTGTTCTTGAATAATCTGTTTTTTTTTTTTTTTTTTACTTACTTTTTCTTAATAACACAAACAAAAATTAACTGTTGCATATATGATATTGTAGCGCATTACAATGTAAATGATCACTGTTTTACAGGTTTTCGCCCGTGGTCTGTGTGTACTGTTAACCAAGTGACAGCCAGTCTATGGGTAGGATTCAAATGTATACCTTGGTCTGTGGCAATACTGAACGTGTTGACACATTACTTCAGGCAAGTCCTTGAGGGTTGTGGCATTCACATTTAGATAAAACCCACATTATTAACTTAAAGGGAGTTTGGAGTTGATTGTACCTAACTTATACATTTGCACAATGTTAATGTTTTGCAAGTGTAGCCTATGCCATCTTCGACCATTGATCATTCTAGTTTAGTGCTAGGCCTAGTGGCCAAATTTTTGATAATTTTGAATGTGGATTGTGGTGTGACTGAATGAAAGATCCCAATTAAACAGTTGTTATGTATCAAGAAATAAGTCCATATGTTTTATTTATAACATCTGTCAGATGACTGTTTATATTATTATGTTTGTTTACTTTTTAGTTTAGTCTGATTTGTGAGTTCAATAAATTTGGTTTTTGTTAATTATGTTTCAATATACTAAAACAGTAAAACCTGGTAGTCTGATAAACGTTGCAGCAAACAAAGTTTCCTCAACTTTAACCACTGTCTCAATAGAAACTGATAAACTCGTTCTGAGCCTTCTACAAACTCCCTTGAAGTCACTTTAACAACACTTTTCTGCATACTGTACACAATTAATGTTGTTACGTAACCGATTTCAATAAGGGTTGACCTATATCCCAAAGAAACCTAATCACATGAATGGTCCAGGGAAAAGTGCCTCCGTCGTTAGCAGAATTACAATGCACACAATCACTTAAGTTAGTAAAAAGCTTGTGACCTGGATCTTGCTCACTGTTGGTTTGGTCACTCATTCTTCACACCTCTTCGCTAGCATTTAAAACTGTTTGATAGGCCTACCCTACAGACAAGTGTCCTTGCCTAGAACCATAACATTTTAAATGTGTAGGTACTTTGCCAGAGCCTTCTTAAGGCCCCTATGTTCCATCATTAGACGAACCACTTGCTTTCTCTAAAATCAGAGTCACATCCTTCAGTTAGGATGAAATTGTATTAACCCTCCAAGTGTCCATAGTTTAGGCCTTAATGTCCACCTATTTTTGGCGCATTTGCAAGGTTTTATTAAAACGGATCTGAGAAGCTTAAAACAATGTTAATTCTAATGTTCTATATACCATTTTGTTTGGAAAATCATGGGCTTCAATATTATATATAAAACATAAGGAACATTTTTTCAAAAAAAAAAATTTTTAGGTAAAAAAAATATAATTTCGAAAATTTTCAAAAAAAAAAAGTTCGCGCTCAATGAAATTGTATAAATTATAGGCCTATAAATATTTGAAAATAGCCACTTTGTTCTAAATTTTATGAGGATTACAAATATATAATAATATAAGGAAGTATATTTGCAAATAAATAAGTTATGGGCAAAAAACTGATTTCAGTACATAGCGTTTAGCTAAGAATGCATAGCCTAACCATAGCTAGGAATCTGACTGATAATTTACATCGATATCACTACCTAACTTACTTCTTCAGGATCATCAACCAGCACTTCAAAACCACTTAAATCTTCTTATAATGCACCACGTAACTTATATCACTACTTTTGATTTTTAACACTAAAACAATGATAAACGTAATAAAACACATCAGTAATCGGTCCGGGGGAACCTAGCTGTTTACAAATACACGCACGTCAGCTGTCTGCTACAATATTTTCGGAACTAAAATGAATAGCGCTTAGAGACAGACCTCTGGAGAAAGCTTAGAATATTACGGAAAGAACGATACCTAACTCGATCCAGTTCAATCCGATTCAGTCAGTCATAGAGCCTTCGCCGTAAACGATGTCTGCGTGTCGAAAAATCGACAAGTAACACTACACAATGTGTGCTGCTTGTCGAATTTTCGTCAAGTAACACTGGGAGGGTTAACTTAACTTATGCTATGTTTATAGTGATTTTGAAAATATATACTTAGCCTAGGCCTACCTCTAACTAAGATAAGTGTAGGGGTACAGTTTCTTAACTTGGCTATGCTAATATCGATTGAAACTATCGAATTGAAAATATTGATTAGCCTAATAATCGATATTTTTAAATATATTTATTATCAAATTAAACTATCCCTAACCTAACCAACCAAACTTGCTGATGGTGAAAAAATCGCATGAAGGTTTAAGTTACTAATCGAATAGGTCTTATAGATCAGGTCTAGGTCAGGTTATAGGTCTTATTGATAGGTTTCAATCAATATTAGCATAACCCAGTTAAGAAACTGTACCCAAGTGTAGTCCTATTAATTACACAATCCATCCAACATTTGTTGGTCAAAGAGACATTACAATTAGCCTAAGTAACTTACTTATTGCATCAAAATAGAGTATGCTAGGCCTAGAGCCTAGCTTATAACAAGTTATGTTGGGGTTACTTTATTTACCTTTTTGAGTTGATCCTCGATTAAGTTAGGCTAATGTAGACCTATTCATATCCACAAATTATTAAACCACTTAGCCCTTAGGAAATTAGTTATGTTTAGTAGGATAAGTTAGGATTTGGAAGGACCCAAGGACGAAGGAACACTTTCAGTTGTTTCAGTTTCAGTTCAGTTTAGCTTCAAAAGCTTCAAGCAAGTTTCAAATTCAAATCAAATCAAAGGTAGTAAAAAAAGTGTAATCAGAACTTACAACACAACAGATCAGAACAACAGACAGTTGTTAGACTAGAGCTAGAGCGGAGCGAGAAAGGAGCCAAGCACTAAGCAGTCATTTCCACTTCCAGCAAAGGCGGCCGTCGAGACCCCAGAGATCAGAACTCCATCCTTTCTCATTAAAAAATATGTATCTATACTACAGTATTATAAAACGTGGTGGTGAGAGTCAGTCTGTCTCCACTATATCACATCCATTTTTTGCAACCGCTAAAAATGTTAAACCGATGTAGTCAATATGAAGACCTATGAACGTTTTAGGTTTACCCTTACTTTTTACTTAGGTTTTTTTACCCTTACTTGGACAAATGTCGTACTTGGAAAGTCTATTAAAACTGTGTAGTGGGGAAAATATCATAATTAATTTGGTTATAAAACATGTTACTATTATTAAAAAAATACTGCAAGCAAAATGTTAATTATTATTACTTTAAACGGTAGGAGTTGATCCAACTCCAGAAACGTTGAGTATCCCAAAACACAAGAAACATTGATGAAGTTCAAATAATAATAATGGTGTAACAATAGTCTTGTGAATATTTGTTTACGAAACCAGTAGGGACCTGTACAAAGTTTCTGTGTTTTGGACGATTTTGATATTGTGATATCAAATTTACACTGCTTAACGTATAATTGAAATAGCGCCTTCAAAATACACAGTCTTTTATAATACTATATGTTTATAAATGTTCACAAATCAATGGGAAAAAATAACCAAAATGGATATTTGAATTTTTTACCAGCGGGAATATATTACAAACAATTAAAAATCCGAAACGACTTTCACCCCAACATGGTGATTTATTATATCACAAGTGTGTTTCATACATAATTGAAGTTCATTACCTAAACAATATCCTTTGTTTGGTGATTTCAGAGATAGAATTATGTTATGTGATATGAATATATGTTATGTGATTGTGGCCAATTAACAATACTTGTGTTGATAATGTTACTTCTTGTAATATTATATTGAAATACAACTTATATCGTACTATATCTCAATGAATGCACTTTGAAAAACTACGCTATTAAGTAAAATTTGTTTACTTTTAAAGTTTTAGTAACACACATCTAAATACATCTAATAATTTGTACTTTACGTTTTCTTACCGCGGCAAGACCTGTATTTGTTTTTTTTTTCGTTTTTTATAAGTCTCAGTTATCTTTCAGAGGTGTTACAGTATAAGTATTAAACTTTATGGGCTTTATTTAAAAAATGATTCACATATTTCATTTTAGGTAACACATTTAATTTCATTAAATAAACACAAATGCATAGTATTTTTAATATAATTATTTAAAAATTATAAGCCAATTCAACTAACCTCCTCAGTGCCTAAAATATAAAAAATCGTCTACAATATAAACTATATTCGCGATTTAAATTATTCAATCGTTGATTCACTATTTTTTTGCTTTTATTAACTGTAGATATGTGCTTTGTTCTTTGTGCATGTTATTATTTATACTTTTTCATTACTATTTACACTAATTATATTCATGGTTATACGTAATAAATATTATTTTTACACAATGTTTTTTTAATTTCATTTACCACTATTTCAATTTAAGTATCACATCACTTTGTAAAAAGTGTAATGCAAAATGCCTGAATTATTTTGCAATGCAGATTTGTCACATTATTTTTCAAACCAGATAACGAGAACCCCAGCGTATGCAGGAGTATATTTTCTTTTAACGCATTAAAAAAACATTTATTTGTATACAGCAGAACCAAATTTTTGACCAGGGTGTTTTATATTGTTATACATTGGGTTGTCTGTAGCTGCCGATGTGGGGTCTTCATTTGCTAAATCATAGGGTCATAAACGAGTGATCGTAAACTTTCACCGTACCCCAGCTTACAAAAGCCGAGATATCCTCGCGGTCACGTCCCTGTGGGCATTGACTAATCAGCGGGGGTGTTTTTACAGTCTGGGAGATCCAAACAACAGTTTGGACTCAACAAGTTTTCTTTGTACTGTACATAAGCAAATAAGAAATCATTTTTCTGTTAATTAAATTTATCTTTCGATTATGTGTTTGGAGTAAAGAAATTACTAACCTTCACTAAGCGTTGTTAATGTTAAAGATTTTTACGATGATAATTTTTAGAATGAATACATTTTGCACTATTTGCTTTAGAATTATAAGGACCATCACAGAAGAATTTCAATCAGAATTGATTTTTTTTTCAAAAATCCATTTCTCGGTTTTGTCATAGTTTTATGGGAAAATAACATAAGTTTCAAGAACTTTTGAACCGTAGTTTTTACCGGAATATGGGGCTGCACTAGATTTTGTTAAGAATAAAAAGAATTATCACATACTTAATTCAATCAAAACAGGGGTTTTCTTTAGAAATTAAAATTTTTTCTTGTATTAAGCTATATTTTGTTGAAATACCATAATTTACAATGGAATTTTAACCGTATTTTTTACAGAAATTGGAGTTATACTATTTTGCTCTGAGTTACAACATACTACAGTAGTATTTTTTTCAAAATCGTTCGGTGATTTCAGACATCAATTTAGTGGATATATCCACTCAAAACTCATACTCGAAAATTTTGGGGTAAACAATACTTTATCCATGTACTAACTAATATGGGGAGAAATTAAAAATAAGTTGTCAAAGATTTGCTATACCCTCCTGAATAAACTCGTACCGTACCAAGCATACGGACGGTACGTGCAAATGAGTAAACAAAACGCGGTATCGCGCGCGCAGCAGTAGCCTCATCAGGAGCAATGACCTACATAGCATTCACACAGCTGCGCCGCCGCCGCCGAGTACTGTACATCGCGAGCGCGGGCAATCGTTCACTCCGCATCGCCGAGTCTAGTCAGTTTAGTCTAGTCTAGTCCGCCGCTAAGCTCAGTCCAGTCCAGTTGGCAGCAACTGCAGCGCGCCAGGCGACGGTTCCATGAACTTCGTGGTGACGGTGCTGCGATCTAAGTAGAGGGGTCAGTACTACGTGCATCCACCGTGCACAACACAGTACATTGTAGAAATTTCCTGTTCACGCGTCCTCCCGCATAGTCTTCAATCTAGTAGTGTTATATAGTCAATGGTAGTAGCAAACTACAAGTAGCAACGCTACTGTAGTTTGCTACATTTTTTGTAGCAGTAAATGTAGCATTGCTACTTTTGTAAAACTGTAGCAAAGGCAGTAGCATGCTATATTTGTAGTAGCAGTAAATGTAGCATTCACTACTTTTTTATGCTACTTTTTACAACAATATGTTTTTCTTTATCAGTACTTAGTAAATCACAGTATGCTTTAATTCATGATTTCAAGTTCGTAACCTGTTTTCTTAATGCTATATTTTCAACATGTGTTTTTAACAACCAGCTCATGTCTCTTGATGGACTACTGAATAAAATGTTTGTCTGTAAAGTTTGGTTTAATATATTTTATATTTTATTTTTAATATTAAGTTACCAGTACGGTAGAGGAGTTGCTTTTTTATAGGAGGTTAAGGATCACAGCTAAGGGGTCGTCCACATATTATGTAACACATTTTTGCCATTTTTAAACCCCTCCCTCCCTCCCTGAGGTTGCACAATGCAAGCCTAAATCCCTCCTCCCACCTCTGTAAGAAATTTTCTTAAACGAGGGTGTGGGGTATGAAATCTAAAATCTATGAAATTTTCTCTTATACAGTAGTAAACATTTTTTAATTGGTTTTAATGTTATCAATAAAAACAAATTAATTACAACAAACTTAACAGTTTATATGAACACGATATCTAAACAGATGAATTTTTGTGAAATTTGGTACTAATCCATTAAATCTCCAGGCGTGTTTTTTTAAATATTTTTTTAAACTTATTGTTAATGATGATTTTCTCATAAAATAACGGAAAAATCAGATTTTCTCAAAAACAGCCAGAACGATTTTGATAAAAATTTAGAAGGCCTATGTTATAGCACAGACAATGGAAACATTAAAGTATTATATTGTCTGTGGTTATAGTCTTTTAAATTCTAAACAAAATGGCACAAATACCATTTCTGTAAAAATTATGGTTCCAAAGTTATTGTAACTTATGTTATTTCCCCATAAAACAAAAAATGGATTTTATAAAAAAGGCCGGTTTGATTAAAATTAATACCATTATTATAGTCCTTAAAATTTTGAACCAAATGGTACAGATCCTATTTCTGTAAAAAGTATGGATCAAAAGTTATGTCTTATTTTTTATTACCGTATGTTATTTCTCATAAAAACTCTAAAAAATTTAAAAAATATCATATTTTAGGAAAAAGCCGGGTTTATTTGAAATTAATGTGTTATGGTCCTTATAATTCTAAACAAAAATATAGTTCAAGCCCCCATTGCTGTAAGAATTACGGTCAAAAGTTATTGCAACTTTTGTGATTCATCCCCATAGAATAATATCATAGTTAGCCCCACTGGCTTACCCGTGATAAAGGTTTTTTTATGAAAATATGAAAGGCTATTTATTATAAATATTACAAGAAAAATAAATCTAAATTACAGATATTACAAAAAATTTTGATTCTTTCAATATGTTGGATGCCTGCTCCATCTTCGAATTCTCGAGCAGATCTCCATTTTTTTCGAGATCTTCTCAGACACATGCTTGTTGCCCTTAAAATTGAGCAAGTCAGTCTCGTTCTTATCCAATTAACTACTAGGCTGTAAGGCTAAACACATTTTTCTGACAATCTTTCAGCGAATGCTCTTATTAGTGTTTGAAAATCATTGCCTAGGATTCCGCAAACTATAATAAAGGAGTCAAAGAGGCATTACGGCTCTCACAGGCTGAAATACAAGCCTACAAGCTTATGGGAGAAAGTATGTGTCAGTTTGCTGATACCGTTTATTTTAATGATTCATTACAAAAAAAGTAGTTTGCTA